TATACCTAGGTTCTTGTCTGGAGGTATTGTTGATCCACTGCTACTAGACACGGAAGACCATTAAGCGGAAGCTTCTTCTGTTCCATAGCACAACCATTTGAACTACTTGGAGCAACACCCGTAACAATGTGTACACTGACAAAATTAATGTACTACCCAATGATTTTGTGGTTTACTGCAGCAAAAGAATTCTTAAATGTGAGGACGCCAAATATCCGTGCAATCTAACGGACACCTAACAAACCTACAGCGATTAAAATACGCGTTTCAAAAATTGCAGTGACTTTGTGTTTATCCTTGCTTTTATGTATTTGTTACATCAGAAGCACTCTTGGTCCAATTTAACTTGAAGTTTTTCCGTTAAGGTTTGAAATCTTAGTAAATATTGTGTTGTGGTAATTTCTTTCTCATTGACTGGCACCTGTGTTCGTACTGTGGTCATATTGCGTTTCAAACCTCTATTTTAAAACGCTGGTTGGTTGTACTTATAAATGTTGACAGCCAAACTGTTTTTCCCCTGTGGGTGAAGGTATACACTTCGATGAGTGTAACAAGTGGATTAATAAGGTGTGTACCCGTTTAAGTTTTACCGCATACAAAAGATGCTCGAAACATAACCGCATTGGATTTGCATGATCTGCTGTACAAATAAGACGTTACTACTCCAGAAGGCTATGAACCTATTTGCTTTGACCTGTAAGAATAAAAATGCTGGTTGCGCTGGTGCTGATGACGAAGATTGCGTCATTGTCGCAAGTGCTGTCCTGGCACCTGCCAGGTACCCAATTGTGAAACACGTAGTCGAGCTTTCTACCCCGAAACTATACTTTCACGTCCCAGTTTTTGCTCGTTCCCTATTTGCAATTCACGAACCAAAATTAACAATAGAACCGAATTCCAATTTGACAACAGAATGTATTCGCGAGTTTCAAATAGTCGAACAAATGTCTCTTCAATTTTGTAGGTTTCCGGAGCAAAAACTCTCAAATATCAAACCAATGACAAAGAGAAACCAAAATGTTCGAAATTGATGATATAAACCAACAAGTTAAAAAGTTAAGTAAAACAAGTACACCTAAAAACAGTAAAATTATTAATATACAAAAACGTTTTAATCAGACAAATGTTTTAGTTCTCTTGTAACAGGATATTGGTGGCCAAGTTGCTAGGGCAGCGGCTGACGATCCCGATAAAACCATTAACGTCCCGTGTATTTCCAATGTAGGTAATGCGACTGATGGATAATGGGTGACGCGGAGACGTAGAAGAGTGGGAGAGATAGCCAAAACTACTAAGCCAAAGTCCTAGAGTACGACCTCACCAAACATAGTTGTCAGTCATTCCCTCGACCTCTATGACCGTTACGAAGACAACTAACGGCACGGTAAAAGGAGTCAATATTCGAAATCTGACATCACGGTCGAAAGCCGTGAACACGATTTCAAAAGAATTTAAATCCCTCCTTAGCTGGAATCTAGAGGATTCGAAAGACAACGACAACGCTAAAAGACATGAACACGATCTTCAGTTAATGGAATCTGTGATCAGAACTGTACTGCCTGAAGATGTCTTGGGTTACATATCACGAAAGTAACACGATTCGGTAAATGGGTTGGAGGCGAGACCCATACAAGAAGGATCTTGAAGTTGGTACTCGGGAATTTTGAGCGAATCGACATAATATTGAATGACGCACACAAAACTCGCGAGTCAAATATTTGTATCCGATCATATTGGACGCTTTAGAACTTAATCAAGTGGAAGAATGCTCTTACGGAGTTAAGAACTCGAAAGTTAATTGGCGAAACTAACCTTACCATTAAGGGTCTTCGAGTAGTCAGGTCTTGGAGGATAATGCTTCTGACCTGTCAGTCTAATTAACATAGTCGTTAAGTTACTTGAAAAGATAATTCGGGTTAAGTTACTAAATCACATACATGCGCATAATATGCTAACTCCCGAGCAAGATGGGTTTCGTAAAATGTGTTCATGCTTGACCAGCTTACTTGTTGCGATATAGGACAGCAGCCTCAGATAACGGTGTGTCTATCGATGTGATATTCACAGGTTTTAGCAAAGCATTTGACAAGGTTTCAAACGTAGGTCTTATGCAGAAGCTCTCGAGCTTCGGAGTGGATAGGTAACATATTCTATGACCGCAGACAGAGAGTGAGGGTCAATAGAACTCCACCCGATTGAAGCCGGTCGAAAGTGGTGTACATCGAGGCACCATCTTAGGCCCTCTTCTTTTCCCTATCTACGTCAATGAATTAAAGATGTTGCTTAAGTCGTCAACTTTATTGTTTTTTGGGTGATTGGAAAATCTGGAGAACTATAAGAAGTGAGTCTGATCATTTGGATCTCCAAGCTGGCTTAGGTTGGGGCTTTGAAGTTAATTCTAGGAAGAGTGCGCTCATGCACATCGGACACGGTAATAGTCACAATTATACTATTGATGGTACATCTCTTCCACGCGTTCAAGAACATGAAGACTTAGTAGTATTAATAAGTCATGACTTGAAAACAACTACGCATTGCAACACAGCTGTTGTCAAAGGTTTTCGCGCGTAATAGTCACTTCGCCGAGCATTCAAATGCTTTGGCGAGGAAATGTTTAAAATTTCATATCCCACCTATGTAAGACCACACTTAGAGTACTGTATTCAAACAGCTAGCCCATTTCTGATAAATACAAACTCATTTGAGCGTATTCAGCGTATGGGAACAAAATTAGTGAAGAGTCTTTCCAAACCCTTTTACGATGAGCGCTTAAAACGCCTTGTCTTATCGTAGGACGCGAGGTGACTTAATTCTAGCATTTCGTATCTTTAACTATGATTTTGGTGTTTATATGTCTTGTCTTTTTGCTCTCTCCAGCACTAATAGTCTCTGATGTCATATAAAGAAGGTTCATAAACCCCAATCTAGTAAACTTAAAGTGAGATCCCGTTTTTCTCATCGAGTTGTCAATGACTGGAATGCCTTGAACGAACAAGTGGTATCGGCTTAATCAGTGAGCATTTTCAAGGAGAAACTGAACCTTCACTGGAATGCAATCCTTCAGGATTAACACAGGTTCACTAACCTACTATCCTTATTACTGAAGACTGAAGACTAGAATGACCGCCTCGTGCCAGGCCATTCAAGGTTGTCGTACACGAACGGCGGGCGACTTTGAGTGAGCCTGACGTTTTTTGCGGTCCTTCCATTGTGTCCGCTTTCTGGGTCGTCGACTAACGTTTTCTTCTTTCTTTTCCACAGACAAATTGTTGTACTCACTATTGTTTGGTACCTTTGATTTCAATCTGGAGGTCTGTTTAACCCCTAAGTAAGACATTTTTCCAGGTGCTTTGCTGAAGTCTGTCACATCGGCAGACTAAGTAAATCTTGAAGTGCTGTCTAATTTCGTTTCAAAATTACCAAGTTAGACATCAATATCGGCTCCGAATGCTGTACTGCCCAGGAGTTAGCAGATTGCGTGATTCTTCAAGACTAAGTAACCGAGAATTATATCAAATATCTTAACTGCTATGCTAGTTAGGCCGATATCTCGGCAGTTAGACACAATGTCTCGTTCCACATTTTACGGCTACACCTTTTCATTCCCCAGAAAGCTAAGTTTGAATAATAGACGAACTAATCAACACTGAGTAGTTCAGTTGATCACCTTTGTCACAATGTTAAGAGCTTGGGTGATGGAGATAAATTGATAAGATCAGGCAGTACTGCCTGATTATAGTACGTACTAAGACCATCATCCATATTTTCTACGGAGGTAGGAGTCTAAACACTACACAGTCACATCATTGAGACGGCGTGGCACCAGCGTTTGTCACAGAATGTCCGGTAGGTTGAAACTTGGAAAGGCTTTGGTTCCAAACGTGTCTCATTATGAATGGTGACTGTTTCTGTCTCGATTTTGTTTTCGTAATACTCGGTTTTCTGCTTAGTATATAACGTCGCTTTCAATAAGTAGGAAGTGTACAAAACATTTGGCAATGGTAATTTATCAGGTTTAACGTTTAAAGGTGTCACTATGCTCGGGATAGTTATTTATATAGTACTTACTACACTGTTTTCATTGTGGCTTGGATTAGTTTTGAATATTGTGGACAAAATCTTCTATTCAGCCTAGTTTAATTAAAGTCCCTAGGTAACATATTGTACTAATATACACTTTCCCAGGTCTTGCCTTGCTCATATCTGTATAAAATATTGCCTTCACAAAATGTCTAAATAAGTAGTGTAACTTCTCTACCGAGTTCATGTTTACCCAGTCATTTCTGGGTTACATTATGAAGAGTGGTTTTACTACCCAAGTTATAATCCTACCTGACCCATACATTACTCATCATTATTTATACTTATTTTCCTACTAACCAGATTCAGTTCACGTAGGCAGTTTAGTTGCAAACCTGTGAGAGATAGTCATTGGTTTTGAAGTTGCAAGTAATCACTTAATTTTCATAAATGTTGTTTGCAGAGACGAGGCTGAAAGGATTGTTCAGAGTAACCATGACACATTGTCGGTGGGATCTCGTTTAATATGGCTGTTGTACTTAAAGATTATAAACTCTTCACCAGAAACATGAAGCAACTAATTGACTGAATTGAATGGGTAAATATGGATATTTATCTGCTAGATAGCTTAGTTCATATTTCATATGTTGTGTATCGACATACCACTCTTAAAATGAACTTCGCTACTTTTTAAACGTCTCATTTTCATTTACAGAACTAATAATTCAGGTGTCTTTTCCTTCTATGTTGTTATTCAGTATTTATAAAATGTTGTATTAAAACATTATACACTTGACAAGTATATGTGTGATCAGATTGTTCGAAATGTAATGCGCTAAAATATCACATAGTTCTGATAATCTTCGTCTTCTTATTACATTATTGAAATTTATCTAAGGGACTAATTGCTTTATATACAATCAAAATCATGAAACAAAACTTTTGAATGACTATATATTTAATTACGTTTTAACCCTAATATGATCTTTGTCAATGACTTTTCCCAGATGAAGCGACAAAAAGATGTACAGTTGGAATCGAAGCCAAAGGTTTGTAGAAATTTTTTTAGTGCTATTTTCCATTGTAGATACAAAAGCGTACTGATTTTTTAAATGACCTGGATGGACTCCTTGTCAGCTCTAAAAATTTCAATAAAGTATGGCTTTAAATATTATTTTATCTAACCTAGTTGTTTATTAAAATCTAGCTTTTTGTACAGAAAACAAGTCAGGAATGGATCAAAACTCAAGTTGAGAAGCTTGTACAAAGTCACATTCATTTATTTAGATTTATTGAAGTTTTAACAAACTTCGTTGTATCTGGAAATCATCATCCACATGTTGTTCAACAAGTGCTTGTTTGGTTAGATTATTGCCTACAACACCATTCAACTTCTATGCAAACACCAGAAATTCAGAAGGTCTTAAAGAATCTGTGTTCATATTACTACGAAATGTGTGGGATGGGGAATATGTTTTTAAGAGCTACTAACCGTGGTAGTGCCATGGAAAATTGGTCAAATGTTCAAAAGGTTATTAGTCACTTCCCTCGTAGATTTTATTATCCGGTTCTACCTAAAACAAAGTTTGTATACATTGATGGTAAGTACTAAAGTGATGAGACTTTAGACGTTGTATCGGTGCTAGATACAATAGTGAATTATTACCTAGTTTAATGCAAATGGAGGGTCTGTTTATTTGTATCATTGATACTTATATAAACTATACTATTGAGGACATCAGTGCAAAATAACAATCCTCTTATTTTCTTTTTATATTGACGGAAAAGTCACAGTATGGTGAAACATATTAAACTTCTAGCACCAAATAGGCCCTTTCACATCACTCTAACCTTCAGAGGTAAGACTAATAGTCTTGCACTTTATCAGGTTCCGAACATGATGGCAAGCAAAAACATGTCAGATCTAGGTTAACCGAAAGTCGACGGAACGATCGTAAGCAGTGGTAGGCAACAAAAGCAAAAGAAATGGAAATGGCAGCGACTGTAGTTAACACAAGATAGTTTTTCAGACTGATAAAAGAAACCAGAATTAAGAAGTCAAGTTTGAGATAATCTCGGAAAAAGACGGCACTCCTATATGCTCTCAGTACCTCAAAAGTACATGGACCGTGTGAGGACTCTTTACTGGGACATTACTTATGACCAAATTTCATTTGATTTTACATCCTTAAGTGATGTCCGGCAAGGCTGTCCACCATCTTCGTTTTTGTCTAATTTCATCAAAGACCTACTGCTGATAATAACGTTCTCATCGTCTGAATTTTCAGGACCTAGTTCTGTGTTAGTTAAGACGCTGATAAAATGCAGTCTTTTGGTAGCGCTGAGCAACAATGCCAAGATTTCTGGGATGCGTTTCTCCCCCTCTAAGTGTAAATTGTTGCTTCAGGACTGGCCTGCGTCAGCACATGAACTAAGGACAGTCAGTGAAGTAGTCGAACGCGTTGACAATTTCACTTATCTTGGAAGGTCTGGTCAGCCCTAATAGGTTGGTGTCTGATGAAATTTCTGCGCGGATTCAAAAGGCTTATTTCGCTTTTGCCAATTTACATCATCCGTCTATCAGTTAAGGTTTATGTATACTACGCAGCAATTCGTTCTGCTTTAATTAACAGCTAAGAAACGTGGCCATTAATGGTAGAGGATACTCGTAGGTTACTAGTATTTGATCGCACATATTTTTAAAATGTTGCTCGTATCTGTTGGGATCACCGGGTGAGTAATGGTCAGGTTAGACGCAAGTAATTGGGGAATGATCATAAATCAGTTGATGAGGTTGTAAATCTACATCAACTGAGATGGTTGGGCCACGTGTTACGCATGCCTGAACACCGACTACCACTACGAGCAATGCTGATTATTGTTGGAGACGGATGGGAGAAAGTTACGGACGATTGAAGCAAAGCGTGGCATCAATCCATAAAGTCACTAACTTCTGGTTTGAGCTATGTTGGTAGATGCATGCTACTTGGTTGGGGTCCGCGTGACTATCATAACCAATGGTTAGACTCTGGGTGACATGGCTCAGAATCGATCACAATGGCGTCGGTATATTCACTCTTTGTCTTCCCTTTAATTGTGAGAATGAAATTACTTTACACATTTTCTACGAACTATTTCTTTCTCCATATATTGTATCCTTATATGCAACCTTTCTTTTACATATTACTACCATCGAAGCAACTACTTCTATGAATTGGTTGTTCATCTTGTTGTGCTATGCGGTATAGAAACTTGGACCGACGCATATATGTGCCTTGTGTTAAGACAAAGACCCCATTTCATGTCTTAGTGAGACATAGTATGTAGTAAAAGTCATTATCACTCAAAAAGCAGGGTTCATACTTCGCCAAAAACCTGTGCAGATCAGGCCAAATCTCACTGTATTTATCATTCTACTTACGTGTGTCCACATGAATACGAGTAGTAATTGTGATTTACCAAAGTAGGGTCTCTGAAAACGTACCAAAAAGGCTGCAGAATAAAATCAAATCACATGAAATGATAAGAGTAGATGATAGACATTTGTTGTCCTTTATTACACAGTTGGAACTTGTCATAAAGTTGGTCTAACCTCAGACTGTTTGGTTTTGTGCAAAAACTGTTTAGAGTTTATGTTAAGGCTTATCGAAGTCTTGACCAAACCCCCTTTATATTTACAAAAGCAGTGTTCCCACCTTAAACCTACCCTGGTGATAATGAAATATTTTCCAGGGTGATGAGTTTCGTATTGTTCCTCCTCTATCTCTGTTTCCTAGTACCTCCGATTCGTCTAATCGGTCTCTTATTTTTCATATATAATGATCAAATAGTTCAAAACGCATTGTGCTAGTTAGTCACATAATTCTGATTATCTTCGTATTCTTAATACATTACACAAATAAGTACATAGTTTAGCAATACTATGGATGTACGTGCAACCCACAGTTGATGTTCACTCCGGGACTCGAACCCAGTGCCTCAAACGCTATCGCCTTATCCATTTAGCTGCTGAACTCCACTGCTATCCTCTATCCATCTCTGCTTATAATGCTTTTGACTTAAGGCAATATCGAAGCAATCTGCATAGGATGTAAATATGCTAATAAGAGACTAATTAATTGCAATCCTAAGCGTCAATGGGAAAATTCAAACAATCAATACAAAAATGAACAAATGAATTTTATTCGAAATTTCAGAATTTCTGTACGGTGACTGAGTAAAGTGTAGTAATAAGTCAGTTAGTTCAACGCAGCCTGAAACCATATACATGCATACATCAGTTAACGTTACCATACTGCATTAGGAAATTTCGTTGTGCGAGTAAAGATTAATCCCAATAGGATTCTAATACTCAAGCAGATAGCTATGATAATAAGTAAAGACTTCAACCTCGGATTAAGAAATCTTTTTTGTTAAGTAGTTCAACACTTGATCTTATTCATGTATATACTGCTATTAACGAGAATTTATGGCGAATAATAGATCGTCGCAATAATTTATTTTTTTATCGGTTGGATCTAAGAAGACAGGGAGTAACTACTAGTTTATTATTCCTCGGTGAAAACGTATTTACATAAGTACAGAATGCTTCTGGTAATATGGACAATTAGAAATTATTTTCTTACTTAACGTTATTGATCCGACGGGTCTAGATAATTTAAATGTTAGACTGTTGTATTACCTACATAAAGCATGTGCACACAATCAGTTAAGGTGAGCATACCTTCATTTTGTAAAATGGTGACTGTTTGCTGATGGTTTACTCAGTACTTTCCTTTCGCCACGCACTAACAGTAATGTACACCGCTTGAATTCTAATGTTAATGACTTTTAACCATGTTTTTTCAAAACTATCAAGTTTTACTTTTGTTTTATCTCTCATTTCAAAGTGAAAAGTTGAAGGATTGTTTAGTACCTTAGTTTGTCATTGTTGTGAAAATTAGTCAAGACAACGCTCTCAAAAAATATTAACGCGAACACCTAAAGTTTTCAGAAGTAAACATTTTATCAGACAGTGTTGTGAGTGATAACCAGTGCATACTCGCTTGATAAAGGACATCGTTTTGCTTATTCCTTTTAAAGAGAATAACATTTGAAAAATAAGGTACTCTGTTTCCTGAAGAATGGCGTTAAAATGCTCAGTTTCGTGTTTAGATATCCCTTAACAATAAAATGATTTATGTACAGCCAGACCAGCTTTAGAACTATTTGGATACTAAGCAGCAAGCTTAAAATCTATTACGTATACTTCCTGTAGTAATCTTAATAGGTCAAATGGCGTAAAAACTTTTCTCATTGTTTTTCTTCATTAGTTGTGGCTATTTATAATGTGTGATATGAAATAGTTTAATTTTCTATCTCACTCCTTAGATGAAAGCAATCCTACCAGAAAATCTAATGTTCCATTAAATTTATATAGTTCCGAAAACAATGAAGAAAATCTTGATATCCTGAATGATGAATATTTGGATGTGGATACAATGTCATCTTTGATGAAAGATGACTCAGAGTATGAACAGGAATCGTTGTATCAATCGGTTGAAGAATCTGATGCCGGTGTATTTGATGTCAATGAACCTCTGTCACCTGATGCAGAACAGTTTCTTAATAGTATAAATGATGACTGGGGAGATGAAATAATTACTTCTGAAGCTGAAAGTGATTCGGACAAATTTATTTATCCTGAAATAAAAGATTCTGAGGACGATTTGTCTGTATCAACCGAAGTAAGTCCAATCATTTATATTCTGCAACTTATTTATTTGAACACAGACATGTGTAGAAAGGGGCACCAAATACATATGAGCCACACAACAACAATGAGGTTTGAAGAGATAGAGAATGCTAAGTGCATATAATAAAAAAGAAGAACAATAAACATAAATTAGTGCGTGACAATGAAATGATAATAATAATGATGGTAATAAGGAGAGGAGCAGTACAGTTAGGGAAAATACAATCAGAAAGAATCCTTCTGTTTAAAGAAGTTACGTTCATTTTTCTTTTTATGAAGAGAGTAAAAAAAGTTGCAGTAGGATTGCCGTTGACTTCTCTTATGAGTCATGCCCGATAAAGTCTCCTCTACGACCCTTAACCAGGGAGTCGTGAAGGACCAACAGAAGCCAGTCATGTACAACTTTCATAACATGACGCAATGCATACACTGACCACCTCTCCGCTTTTTCCAACCTGTTCCAGCGTCGGCGAATAATGCACGATGTGGAGTTCTTTAGGACCACATTCGTAAAACATGTGCAAACCACCGAAGTCGATATTTCAAGTTAGTGACACCAATTAAATTATCGTCGCTGTGCCCGAACACACGATGCCGAACCTCTGCACTACTGACATGGTGTTGCTACTAGATGTCAGCAATACTTAGGAGACCACGATGATCGAACACAGAGAATCGTCTAACGTCCTCAACTCGGAGAGGCCAGGTTTCACAAGCATAGAGCGAAACTGCTCTCACCGACGCGTTGTAGATCCGACCTTTTACAGCCAGACTAACATCACGAAGGCGCCAAAGGTGGTCCAGATTGGCATAAGCCTGTCTGGCTTTCACTATTTGTGTACTGATCTAATCACTCACACTCCCACCAGCACTTATACAGCTACCCAGATACACGAACTTCTCGACTACGTCTATCTGCTCACCATCCAGAGTGAGTACAGGATTAGAATCCTGCCAGTCTTGTAGAAGTACTTTTCAATTCGAAGATGTAAAGCACATACCATACCTACGGACACTGATTGCCAACTGATTAAGTGCGGATTGCATACCTTGGGCATTTTCGCACAGTAAGACATTACCATCCGCATACTCAAGGTCGAGAAGTCTTTCTCCGGGCAACAGATCCACACCGCCATTACTTACATCCATCAGAGCTGTTTCTAGAATTTCATCGACGGCAAAGTTGGAGAGGAATGGTGAGATTGTGCAACCCTGCCTAACCCCACTGCTCGAATGGAACAATGGAGAGAGGTGGTTGTATGCCCTCACTCTGCCTGAGGTGTTTGTATGTAGGGCTTTTAGGATGTTAATAAACTTCTCAGGCACACCCTTCTTCAATAGACAATCCCAGAGAACATCCTCGCGAGTTAATCTTTCTCGGTTTTTGAACAACGTATGATGTATGACGGAAGCCAATAGCTTGGACGCAATCGGAAGTAGACTTATCCCCCGATAGTTGTTACAGGAACGACATGAATCCTTTTTGAGTATAGTAACAACTATAGAATCACCCATCGACGTTGCGAAACTCTCTAACTGCCAGACCTTTGTAAATAACTCAATCAGTTCCTTGAACAGAAGTTCGCCACCATTTCTAAAATGGGCCAGCGGTAAGTCGTTTTGGTGTGATGATTCATGGCGCTTTAATAGTTGGAGTTCTTTGCGGACTTCCGCCTCATTGGGTGAGTCAGTCGTCACAGACCATGGAGGGCAGTACCGTCTGATTGATGTCGATGTGGCAGGAAAATAAGTTAAGCTTCCCGTCCAAGACGTCGACAGATGTTAATGACTGACATCTTGTCATCGTCACAGATTGTTTCGCTCACACCAGACTTCTTGCTGCCTGTAACTTGGATGAGTTGGAAGAGCTCCCGGCAGTTACCAGATACAGCTGTTGCTTCCAACTATTGGCTCCTACCACTAGGGTTCTGGGTCGTTGCGCAAGCTTTGCTCAATTTTATTACTTAACAGTCGTCATTTGTGATCAAGCGCACGGTCGTCCGGAGTAGACTGATAGGCTTCAATAAGTAGTAAGGCGCCTTTATAAACGTATAATTCTCATTAGGGCTGCTAGTACGCTTGAAACTAATTCGGATAAAGTCATGCTGGTTAACTGAAGACTTGGTTTAGTTGGTCGTGCACTCGATTTTCAACCTCAACCTTCTCTTTTCCTATCTCTTTCCAAACGTCCGAATCGCACTTACACATTACATGAGGAATGTGGCTCGAAACTACACAAACGTGTACTCGGTTGTTGGATCCCACTAACGTTATTCATTGAACTTTGTATCAAATTCCTTGGAGTATATCCACTAATCTATTAAGCCTCCAAATGCTCTCGTACGGCCGAGGGTGAGGAGAGTCAGTTCTCCCTCTCGAAATGCTCTCATATGGCCACGCGTATATAGCCTCTGCCAGGGAAGTCCTACTCACTGCCTTCTCGCGGCGAGGGTGTTGTTTACGAAATTGAGAGGACGAAAAGCGAATGCCCAGCGCTTTAACCGGGTTGGTGGACACGAGAGGTTCACCTAGAGGGTTTAAAACCCTGATTCCAAACCAATGGTGTACATGGGCTCCAGGATCTTGAAGGAACAAATGGCGTGTTAACCAATTATTGGTCACCGGCTATCATGGGATTGCATCTCCTGATGTTACTTCACTGCCTTGTGAATCAGACCTTCGCGTCAAAGGCTCCGGGTGTGCTCCTCTAAGAAAACCACCTGCTTCGGTCTGGGCACTCGGGCAGTATCACAGCACAAATGCAAATCAAGTGATTTGTGTGGCGCATATGTATTCGGTGCCTCTTTGTACTAATATTTATGTGTTCAAATAACTAAAAATAAAATCTATTAAATTTCAATTTCTGTCCAGTGTATATGTTAATCTGTTTCTTTAACGTCAAGATATCTTTAACGTCTGTCAATACAAGTCTGTTTCCGGATGTTACTGAACAATTGGGAACCGTCGGGAATGGTTGTGACGTTAATAATGGTGAGAAAAATGAGAAAGTTGTTAAACCAAAAGCAAGCAAATCTAACTACTCAACCTTAAGTCAATCCCCAAACAATCGTCAAAAAAACCGTCGATCAAGTTCAAGAATAACTACATCTCAAAAACATTGATTTCCTATTAGACGTATTTATGTGATATTTGTATATAAATGGACAAAATACGATAAATCTTCTGTTCTGGATTATAGAAGGGTTAGTGCAATCTTGTATTTACAACTCCTCATTGGGAATGTATGTGAGACGGGAAGGTCGTATCTGTACATGAACTTGGAGATTCTGTTTTAACGAGTTAACAACAAAATATCTAACACATTTCACTTAGATATTTCCTCCTATTATATTTTGAATTGAGATCACTTAGAAGGACAAAACATTTTTCTTCCGTGCTCATTAATTCATCAGTTTATAAAAAAAACTCGGAGGTATTCATGCATCATTGTGTAACTGGGTCACATAAAAGAACATCCTTGTAAAGTTGCTTGGAAGTTTTTGAATCAAGTGGTTAGTTAGCGGATATTTTAGGTTGTATCGCAGTGTATATCAACTGGACTAATTATTGTGGATTTAATTAGGATATCACACTTATTTATGTACCGTAGCTAAAAGTAACTTACTTACTTACTTACGCCTGTTACTCCTCGTGAAGGAGCATAGGCCGCTCACCAGCATTCTCCATCTAACCCTGTCCTGGGCAATCCTTTCTAGCTACGTCCAGTTGTAATTCATCGTTTTCATATCTGCTTCTATTATCCGACGCAATGTGTTCTTTGGCCTTCCCCTTATTCGCTTCCCTTCAGGATTCCAAGTTAGGGCTTGCCTCGTGATGCAGTTTGACGATTTGCGTAATGTATGTCCTATCCATTTCCATCGTCTTTTCCTAATTTCTTCTTCAGCTGGAAGTTGGTTTGTTCTCTCCCACAGAAGGCTATTGCTGATGGTATCCGGCCAGCGGATGTTGAGTATCTTGCGTAAACAGCTATTTATAAATACTTGTACTTTCTTGATGGTGGTTGTTGTAGTTATCCAAGTTTCAGCTCCATACAGTAGAACTGCCTTAACGTTCGTATTGAAGATTCTCACTTTGATATTGGTTGAAAGTTGTTTTGAGTTCCATATGTTCTTCAATTGTAGGAATGCGACCCTTGCTTTGCCAATCCTCGCCTTTACGTCTGCATCTGAACCTCCTTGTTTATCGATGATGCTTCCTAGGTATGTGAAGGACTCTACATCTTCCAGAGTTTCGCCATCAAGAGTGATTGGATTGCTGTTTTCCGCTTTGAATTTGAGGACCTTGGTTTTTTCTTTGTGTATGCTGAGGCCTACTTATGCAGAGACTGCTGCTACACTGGCTGTCTTCATCTGCATCTGTTCGTGTGTACGTGATAAGTGGGCTAGGTCATCTGCAAAGTCCAAGTCGTTTAATTGGTTCTGAGCTGTCCATTGTATTCCGTGTTTTCCTTCAGATGTCGAGGTCTTCATAATCCAGTCGACCAGCAGAAGAAAGAGGAAGGGGGAGAGTAAACAGCCTTGTCTGACTCCGGTCCTTACTTGGAATGCATCTGTCAGCTGTCCTCCATGCACTACTTTGCACTGTAGTCCGTCGTATGAGTTCCGGATAATATTGACAATCTTCTCAGGAACTCCGTAGTGTCGTAGAAGTTTCCATAATGTCCTCCTGTCTACACTGTCGAATGCCTTTTCATAATCAATGAAGTTGATGTATAGTGATGAGTTCCACTCAACTGATTGTTCGACGATGATCCGTAGTGTTGCAATTTGGTTTGTGCAAGACCGATCCTTACGGAATCCAGCTTGTTGATCTCGAAGTTGGGCGTCTACTGCATCCTTCATCCGGTTCAGCAACCTGTTGTTGAGGGCTATCTTGAATTCATTGAGTTTGTCAGTATCTCGAAGGCTGTATTGAACCTTTGTAGTGCTGTTTGTCCACTTGTCCAGTTCTTTTTTAGCTTCAGTTTTAAATTGGCTACAACTAGGTGGTGATCTGAAGCTACGTCAGCACCTCTCCTGGTTCTCACATCTTCCATTGTCCTTCGGAATTTTTTGTTGATGCAAATATGATCTATTCGGTTCTCTGTAGTGTGGTCCGGTGAGATCCATGTAGCCTTGTGTATACGTTTGTGTGGAAATATTGTGCCTCCTATGACCAATTTGTTGAATGCACATAAATTTGCAAATCTTTCTCCATTTTCGTTTCTTTCTCCCAGTCCATGTCGTCCCATAATATCTTCATATCCAGTGTTGTCTATTCCGACTTTGGCATTTAGATCTCCCATCAGAATAGTTAGGTCCTTTCTTCGGCATTTCTCAATGATTGACTGCAGCCGCTCGTAGAACTGATCTTTAATGTCGTCGTTGCTATCATTGGTGGGTGCATAACATTGGATAATATTCATCGTGATCCCCTCCTTCTTTGTTTTGAATGATGCTTTGATGATTCTGGATCCGTGAGACTCCCATCCTACAAGTGCATTTCGTGCTACTTTGGACAGCATAAGAGCGACTCCCTGAGTGTGTGGAGCATTTTCCTCTTCGTGACCGGAGTATAGCAGCATCTCTCCCGTAGCTAGCCTTTTCTGTCCAGCTTGGGTCCAGTGGGTTTCGCTGATTCCCAGTACTGCTAAGTTGTATCTCCTCATTTCCATTGCTATTTGACTGGTCTTCCCGGTTTCCCACATTGTTCGAACGTTCCATGTACCTATAAAAATTTTTGCTCTAGTTGTTAGAAGGGGCATCGGCCTCGTGGCTTCCGAAGGAACTCGGCTTTCACCATGAAGCGTCATAATTCTTCTAACTGAAGACCTTCTAACTCCCAGGGCAGAGTTTAAATGGTTTGGATTATTTTTTCTGGTAAGCGTTTTTTTAGCGGGTTAGTTTTCTACGGTATGGGGACGCTAACCTCATGCCCAACCCTCCTCATTTACCCGGGCTTGGGACCGGCAGTAACCCTATAAGAGCTACAGGCGGAGTTGTAGCTACAAGTAAGGTAGTGCTTATATTATACATATACAATTGTCGCGTTGTCTGATTCGCCAATATGCATGTGTTTCATAAAGCCCTCATTTTGAAAGAGTGACTCGAAACGCATTGCAACTGTTCAGAGCATATGTAGTGAACTATAATTTGCTTTTAGTTTTGAAGAGTATTTTTTCCGTATTCTCAAATAATTTCATGAGTTACTGGAATAGGTTTCTGTGATGTTTACTTATACAAGCTTTGATCTGATTCTAATACACTAAGCCTGTGATCCGAGATCATAATATCAAGAGCAAAAGACAAAATAAAGAAAAACTGTCATTGCTATTAAGAACCATTGTATAGGGGCGATCTATTTTATTCTTGTATAAAAATAAGAATAACGAACACAATTCCTCAGCTTATGGATTCACAGTTTTTTGAATAATAAAATTTAAAGATTTTGTTCCGTATCCTTCTTTTGTATCAAACGTGATAAGTCACGTCGTCTCAGTAATTTTCTACATACAGGACATTGATGATCACCCTAAAATTCAAAACAAGAATGGGTGTTAATACGCTTGTTTGGGAAAAAAAAGTGAACTAATAGGTAATCTAACAAATAGCACAAATTAAGGATGGAGTTAGGAAGACCTTCTAACTCCCAGGGCAGAGTTTAAATGGTTTGGATTATTTTTTCTGGTAAGCGTTTTTTTAGCGGGTTAGTTTTCTACGGTATGGGGACGCTAACCTCATGCCCAACCCTCCTCATTTACCCGGGCTTGGGACCGGCAGTAACCCTATAAGAGCTACAGGCGGAGTTGTAGCTACAAGTAAGGTAGTGCTTATATTATACATATACAATTGTCGCGTTGTCTGATTCGCCAATATGCATGTGTTTCATAAAGCCCTCATTTTGAAAGAGTGACTCGAAACGCATTGCAACTGTTCAGAGCATATGTAGTGAACTATAATTTGCTTTTAGTTTTGAAGAGTATTTTTTCCGTATTCTCAAATAATTTCATGAGTTACTGGAATAGGTTTCTGTGATGTTTACTTATACAAGCTTTGATCTGATTCTAATACACTAAGCCTGTGATCCGAGATCATAATATCAAGAGCAAAAGACAAAATAAAGAAAAATTGTCATTGCTATTAAGAACCATTGTATAGGGGCGATCTATTTTATTCTTGTATAAAAATAAGAATAACGAACACAATTCCTCAGCTTATGGATTCACAGTTTTTTGAATAATAAAATTTAAAGATTTTGTTCCGTATCCTTCTTTTGTATCAAACGTGATAAGTCACGTCGTCTCAGTAATTTTCTACATACAGGACATTGATGATCACCCTAAAATTCAAAACAAGAATGGGTGTTAATACGCTTGTTTGGGAAAAAAAAGTGAACTAATAGGTAATCTAACAAATAGCACAAATTAAGGATGGAGTTAGGAATAAACGTCAATCTCAGTATATATATATATATATATATAATCGAACAATATTGTTTCCGATTATAAACTACTTAAATATAGTAAATAGTACTTACTTTGTCGATGATATGTCGCCAACATTTAAAACAAGCTATGTGCTTACAGCATGATATCACTGGAACTTGTGCCGGATCAGCTGAGCATTTGCAACATTTCATTGAGACTTCAGGTATATTATCTAGTTTTACTGGTTGATTTGAATTAATTGCTAGGCTGCGAGACACTTGGAAAAATATGGAGTACAATACTTAAAAAAAAGTCAAACAACATATTTTGCTGAAATCTATCTTATTATTGACGCAAAGGATTCTTAACAATTACAGATTCAATAAAGTTTCTACATTTCTTCGTACTTAAGTTTTTAGTAGTCTATGGACAAAGAATATTTTTTTAACTTAGGTGTACGTAACAAAAAAACTGAATAAAGCGCTTTATTTGATATGAGTTTAGTATCTCAACAACCGGATTAATCATTTACATCTGGAATTTGAAGCAACTCGTTTAGTGATTCCACTGTATTGGGGTATTACTTCGTAAATCATCTTTAGTTATTTCTCCAAAGATATATTGACGTTGCACAACTATAGAGTAGTACTGAGGGGAATATTAAAAACTATGATGATTATCATTAGCATTCTGACATCACCGCAAAGGAATAAACAGGGAATACCAGGCATACTTTTGATGACTATGCAGATTTGGTTAACTACTAGAACATTTCTTGGTTTTACTCCATGAAAGAAAAATCGAAAAACAGCGCTAGAAATTCATATGGTAGAATGCAACATCCATAATTCAATGTTACAAGCCTTATTGACCGATGATGACAAAACCGAATTTTCTGGTGGTTTTTTTGCAAAACAATCAAAGAATAAACTGAGTACAACGTATATAAGCTCATATTAATCGATTACATACCTTGATTTGAAGTATCTACAGACTTATTTAATGAATTTGATTGAATAATTGGTAACCCCGTCAAATTATGACACAACTCAGCATAACGTTTACGATGCTCCGGTAAGATAAAACAAATGGCATCTAATAATAAACATATGTAGTAGACACATACAGATACGTACAAATATATTGCAAAAGAATAGATTGTTTATTAATAAAACCGATATTTTCAGGTCAAGAAGATATATTTTCTGAAAGACATTTAATATACCTGTTAGAATTGACAATTTGTGCACAAATGTTTCAACATCATTGTAGGCGACATGTGGATTTCTATGAAATGCCTACAAATAGTAATTAAGGAGTCAGACTTTCAAACACTAACTCCCTGGCTCAAAATTCTGCCCCATCTATATTACGGTTTAGACAATGAGAATATTATTGACCTTCATACCTAGAATGTGGCTCATATCCAAGTGCATGGTGAGTGAATTAATGTAGATTTCTTATAAACAATAAGAACTGAAAATTCGAGATACGATTTCACATATTAAAACGCAAAATATTTCACATGGACAATATAAGTAGTTTAGCACACACTTATTGTTTATTAACCCAATCAGAACAATATTAATTTCTTCTATAGATCATTTAGAAGTATAAAATAAGTAGTAGCTTTGATAAATTTTGATGAGAAGACGAAGGTTATCAAAATCACATGCTATATTCACGCAATACATTTCGAAAAATCTGATCACATACTTGTCAAGACACCATTCACGGAAAACGTCTAACTTGATACCAAATCTATATACGTTCAAAACCATATGTATTCACAATGGAGGAAAATAACTGTCTATCCTGCGATCTTATTGGATCAATGACATTCACTTATTTGTAGCCATTTAGATATATGTTCAGCCACCACTACTTGGAGATCACGATCACTCCTACTTAAATATATCTTTCCGCATATATATTTAAATTGATAGACTCAATGGGATTTGAAACAATCGTTAATATGCTGTTTTGGTTTCGGTGAAACATAAACGTTGACTTTTCGACAGTGAATAGTTGGACTGTGAAAAATATAATAATTTCTATTTTCAGTCTTTTTAAAATAAGACTATCTAACTGAGATCTTAGCTAAAATCTGGAAACTGGATATAATCCAATTTGACTAGTCCCTTTCAATGATCGTCCTAGTTTATGAGGAACGACAAAATGTTCTTGCGACAATCACAGAGAAATCAACCTGACTACTATAATATCTAGACTAGTTTCAATAATAATCCGACGCTAAGCTGCGGTTCACTAAGAGCAAACCTGATAAGACAAGACTGGTTTCAAACCTCAACGCGGATGTATAGACTAAATATTCACCACTCGGCAGATTTTGGAACATAGACGTACCCTCCGACAGTAGTTGTATCCCTTGATCTTTATGCAGTATACGACTTCACGGATTGACAGCTTTTGTAGCAATGTCTGTCATTGAAAGCTTGCCAAAGAAGCACGCTAACTTTGTACAAACTCACTACTTGAACAGTACTGGTCGATTCAGAGTTTATGGCGAACTGTCATCGGAACTGGTTACTTCAAGTGGTGTTTGTCAGGGTTTTTCGCCTTCCTCATCTTTATGCAACCTTGTCATAAACATGCTTTTAAAGATAACACTTTTATCGTCTGACTTTTCGAGTGTCGCTCTTCTACTAGGAGATTCACTTGTTAACTTAGAATACCAAGATGATATAGTTCTGTTTGGTGAAGGTGCTGACAAAATGCTCATCAAGGTAGGTGATGTCTAATGTGGGAGCAGGTTGAAAGAAAGCTAGAGTTGCTCGAAGCAAGACATAGCATCAGTCCATGAAGTAATTGACTGATGAACTGGTTCATGTTGGTAGGTGTAGACTATCTGGTTATGGTCCGCGTGATCATCGTAACTGGTAGTTAAAGAGTTTTAATGATGTCGTCAAAATCTCTTGAAATGTCGCAGGTGCACTAGCTTTTTTGTCTTCCCTCAAATCCTGATGTTCTAAGTTCTCCATAACGTTTTTTGTGTGTATTTCACTAACTTATATTCTCTTCTGGGATCGTATCTTCGATGCGTAATCTTCCCAATTGCCACTCATACTGTTAATACCTCTTCTATTCTGGGATTTGGTCTGATAATTTCATTTCGCTGTGCTAGTGGTGTATATCAACTTGAACTGATGTACATATGTACCAGACTGTTCATTACGTTTAACTAACCGAATGTGATGGCTTTCTAAATATTGACTAATTTAAAACAGCTTTTATGGTCTGAAATTAGTTGAGGGAATGGAAAGACGAATGATCAATACCTTCAGTGAAGTAATCTATGCAAAACAACAAGAATGATAAATATTTCCCATTCATATTTGACTGATCTCAAGTACTTTTAGCACCACACGAGCTAAGAGAAACTGACTATTATGGTGTCCTAGATAGACTACACGATATCTATTCATATATAGGATATCTTACCTTGTAAAAGTCCAGGTGCTTCTAATGGTATAAATATTCTAGATAATTGAGTGAATAATACTTCTACCAGTTGATTAGACTGATTGGTTAATGTATTTTGATTTAGTGTTATAGCTTGTCTATATTCTTTCATAACTTGTTTAAAATCATTAAGACGACTTGCATAAACAGATTCATTGGTTCCATTCGATTTAAGAACAGATTTTAACAAGGTCATATATTTAGATGATAAAGAATTATCATTATTTAAAATAGTTGTAGATGAAACATTTTCTGATAATTCTATAGAATTATTTTTCTGTTCCAAAAGTTTTATTCGTTTACATGGTTTTCGTTGTAATAACTTCTGTTCTAGTAGATCACCAGAGTATGATTTAGAATCTGATATATATTTATTCTGAGAACATAAATATAAAACCATCAAGAAAGTTTAATTAGTAACTTTAAAGATAATAAAATATATAATAAATATCAGAAGGGATTTTGTGGAGATTTTAGTAATTTCAATAGTTGAAATCATAAGTCACTTGAAGCTAGACCACTATGGAAAATCTGGAAGCATTGAACGGCCGTTTCGTCCTAGTATGGTAATCCTCAGCAGTGCCCATCCACGATCCCGCCCCCGCGAGATTCGAACCCAGGACCTATCAGTCTCGCGTGCGAGCGCTCAACCATTTGACCAGTGAGCCGTCATCCATGGTGGTCTAGCTTCAATTGACTCATGATTTCAACTATTGAGATATAGCAAACATGTTCAAACAAACAGTGAAAAAACGTTAACGCACGATTAGAAAAAAGAAAATGAAACTTGAAAGAAATCGTGAAATCAACTATATCTTCGAACATATCAATGATAAATCAAATAAATTATAGTTACTAGGTAGATTTTTTTAAAGATTTCACATAAACCTCGCTAAATTAATCACTGCTTAGTAGCAACGGCCAATGACTCAGGTTTTATAATTTTATACGTTCACATGGAAAATTGCCACAGATCGATGTGTTAAAGAATAAATACCGAACGAATTTACCTGCTGAAATGTTACAATACTCTTACATGAAACATTTAATCTATCTTCGAAATTTTACAAACGGTAAATCATACTTAGCCAACAAAATGAAATTTTAAAACTACGAATGTTCATTTTTTTTTGTCGAATTGAAGTCGTTACCTTCCATTTGTAGACAGCGATGGCTCTGAGTATCAACAACTCCGAACAGCTTCATGTAGCAGACTGTTGTAACGTGTGAGAGACTGCAGGGTTTGATACGCAGCGTATTTATCGATCGCTTCAATGGACACGTAAACACGTAGTGGACGACCTAGTCCCCTGATTGGTCCCGCTTCGCAGTCTGTCCCAGCCAGTTGAGTCAAGAACGCAAGTCACAGCCTCTGAGTTACGAATCATTGTATTTCAGACATACTCTATTTATATACTAACCAAACAAACCACATCGTACCATAAAATAGGAAACAACATTTACAAAATATTTAACAAGTGAAATAAACACCGACCAATAAGGAATGTACATTTAAGGTCCAAGGCCACCATAGACTTAACACGATAATTATTGGTATATTTTTCCGACTATCCTAACACAGACTATAAGTAAAATCTACAAGTGAAAATCTACCGAACCTCAGAAGGCATGGTTCAGAACAATGACGCTCCTAGGTGAAAGATCATACCCACAGAATACAATAGAGAAAATTATTTTTTTAAAGTACTCCATCATTTTATTAAATATTGATGAGAAACTGAATATATCGGTAGAGCTACAAATGAAATATCAACGATGTTTTTTGTTTAGACTAGAAATTAAACCAGCTAGTACAACAACTAAGCTCCATGATACTGTCAATATGCTGGAAAATTTCCCTTCAACCAATATTAATGAAACTATCAACATAAATTCCAAGACTGAAATCTATACATTTATTTAAAACGATTAGTCCCTTTGATAAATTTCGATAATGATATTAGAAGACGAAGATTATCAGAACTATGTGATATATTAGCGCAATACATTTCGAACAATCTGGTCACACATATACTTATTAAGAGCATTTATATATAAAAATAAAAGGTCAACTAGACTGGAAACGGGGTAAGAGGAGATAAGGATAATGATAAGAGTAATAATAATGATAATGTGAACACAAAGCGAAACCTAATCACTCTGGATAATAAGTCAATATTACCAGGGTAGGTTTAAGGTAAGAACAAACTGTTTTTGAACACATAAAGGGGGTTTAAATTTTCGTATGGCTCAGGCTTCAATGAACCTTAGTATACGCCCTTTTACACTTTTATACAGCACTACAAAAGCTGAATTAGATCAATCTTGTGACCTGTTTCAATTATATGTTTAGAAATAGAGGATGATGGATGTTTATCCTCTGCTCTTATTGGGTCACTTTATTGTATTTGATTCTGAAGCCATTTGGGTACATGTTCACTCACCCTAATGTTGAGATCACGATTACTCCTCCCTATGTATGTGTGACCACACACACATTTAAATTGGTAAACACAGTGGGATGTGACGCAATCGTTTCCATGTACTTTAGGTTTTAAATGAAGCATGCACCTTCACAATTGATTGATCACTGGGTGGTGATCAATCTCATGCTTGTCTAGTCCTTATTAGTGCAGATCGAATGCTATCGATCATGTTGCAATGTGGCCACCAGTCTAGGTGACTCGACACTGCGGGCACTATGTATTGAGATTAGATGGTGGTTGGAGGTAGTCAACAGGAAACCCTGGACCCGGGTTTCGTGCTACTTGGCACTCGTCAGCAAGGTGTACCTGTAATCTTGAGGGAACTGGTGCTCCCTGGCGGAGTCGATCTCGTGTCACCCAGCTTCACAGTCAGAGACGTTACCACTGAGCTATCCGAGCCGTGACTAACCTCCTGTAGGACTGAGATGGACTAGACAAGCGTGAGATTGATCACCACCCAGTGATCAATCAATTGTGAAGGTGCATGCTTCATTTAAAACCTAAAGTACATGGAAACGATTGCGTCACATCCCACTGTGTTTACCAATTTAAATGTGTGTGTGGTCACACATACATAGGGAGGAGTAATCGTGATCTCAACATTAGGGTGAGTGAACATGTACCCAAATGGCTTCAGAATCAAATACAATAAAGTGACCCAATAAGAGCAGAGGATAAACATCCATCATCCTCTATTTCTAAACATATAATTGAAACAGGTCACAAGATTGATCTAATTCAGCTTTTGTAGTGCTGTATAAAAGTGTAAAAGGGCGTATACTAAGGTTCATTGAAGCCTGAGCCATACGAAAATTTAAACCCCCTTTATGTGTTCAAAAACAGTTTGTTCTTACCTTAAACCTACCCTGGTAATATTGACTTATTATCCAGAGTGATTAGGTTTCGCTTTGTGTTCACATTATCATTATTATTACTCTTATCATTATCCTTATCTCCTCTTACCCCGTTTCCAGTCTAGTTGACCTTTTATTTTTATATATAAATGCTCTTAACAAGTATATGTGTGACCAGATTGTTCGAAATGTATTGCGCTAATATATCACATAGTTCCGATAATCTTCGTCTTCTAATATCATTATCGAAATATACATTTATTGTTAAATTGCTTACCTGGTCTATATTCTCTGATTCAATGTACACCGTATCAAATATGGATGCTGATGACGAGATCGAATCTATTTTATAATCAACATTACATTCATGAAGTTTTGATGAACACGGTGAGTGATTCGAATGATAACTTGTTATGAGAGTAACTGAATCATTCACATTTGGACTGAATATATTCAGCTTAATTTAAAGGGTTAGTGAGAGAATTGAAATAAGTAACCAACATAGTGTTAATTTATATATATATATATATATATATATATATATATATCAGTACATAAAAGGAGAAAGACATCATGATATTATCATTAATAACTACGAACTATCAACGCAGTTGGATGCCGGTTCAGTGGTCTAGAGGTTAAACGTTCGAATCCCACGAGTGAGGTCGTGGATGTGCATTGTTGAGGAGCCCCATAATAGGACGAAACGGCTGTCCAGGTTATCCATAGTGGTCTAGCTTTAAACGACTAATATGACTAATGAATTCAACTATTAGATAGTATGAGAGTTCATAGAATAGATTATGTAAATCTCAACACAACAATACGGGAAGCAGTGAACTTGCCGGATGGTTTGTGGCAATAATCAAAATCATTTGCATGCATTATTAGGATCTTATGAAATCGCTGAAATATTATCGTTTAAAACAGACCTGCAATCGAGGTGAAAAGCAAGCAGTCTTAAGCCTAATTAAAAATGGTAAGTAAATAGGTGATGACGTACCTACTAAAGATATATACTACACATTATAATCAATAGTAAACCTGTAATCAAACAAACCCAAGAGTGCTAGTAGAGTTTAAAGAACCACTGAACGGCTGTACGAAAAGAAGGAATAAATTTATGCAATCAGTAGTGTTAAGTGACGCGGATAATTTACTTTTATCTCAGAAAGTGTTTAAGATAAACAATCAAGACGATGAAATTTTAAACCACATACTAAAATGAAGTTATTCTCATTCTGTATATTTTGAACATACTACTGATGTACAGCTGTTTATTCGCTATCAAATCTAGTTATTCGTATTTTTGTCCACAAATGCAGGGTATTCGTACTCCGAATTCTGGCAAACCATATTCACAATTACCTGGCTATGTTCGGCTTCACTTGACATTGCGTTACTTATCTATTACCCTTCATTTCCATTTCAAGCATTCTTTTCTTTCTCATCTTACCCAGCAGTTCGTCTATGATGAAAATTCTGTTCCGTCTAAATGATCGCAAGTAAATGAATGGTAGAAGTTTGAAACAGCCGTTCTGGAACGAAGAATGACTTGCAAACTAGGCTCAATCAACATACACATACTGATGCAGGTCGGATGAAAGGTAGGTTTAGCTATATTTTTGGTAAGTTTTGAGAACGTTTGCTTTAAATACAGGACCTGTATTTAAGAATAGTGAGATAATTAAGACTCGTTCTCCGTCTGTTGAGTCGTAAAGCTAGTTTCACGCGCGTTTATAAGGGGACTCTGTTGCAACCTCATCCAGTTTGGCTGATATGGGCGTAGTATTAGGCGCGAAAGTAGAGGCAGAACTAGTCGACTATTTATGTTGCCGTCAGACTGGAGTTTCGTCAAAGTGAGAAGAAACTGGGGAGGAAAGCGATACATTTTTACAGTCTCCTCCTATGATCTAAGACTTTACAAACTGGATGCAATGAAACCTAAGACAGTGCACCACTGTGATAAGATCACTGTTAATCAATATTTTTTATTGATAAAACACTAGATCAAGAGAGTAAACAGCTTAGAGGATTAAAGTATAAATAAGTAATCAATAAGCTCTTTATAGTTCTAAACTACTCATGATACAGTGAGTATATCAGAAAAATTCTCTTCAAAATAGTTATAATAAGCATAAAATGATGTATGCTATTAAAATTACTAAATACGAATTGAATTACTTCAAAAGCTGAAGGGAGATTTGATATCAAGTTAGATCTTTCTAAAGATGCTTGTGTTCGATTTACTGATCGCAGTGAACTTTTCTCAGTTAACATATTATTTACAATTGAAGTAGTATCAACAGGTCGATCGATGGATGGATACTGTAAATAAAGGAAACCATCTATATAGAGAAGTGAACACAATGATATTTTTTTATAATCCTAATCAATTATATCAGTCTAGAGTAATATCGAATTTATGTTTTGGATGGGAAAGATTTTATATTAAAACTTTTATAAAATTATCATCGTACTCGGAAAGACTGACTACTGACGTTAGGAGACTAGTAAAATTATTCAGTACTATTCAGTTTAGTAGATTAAAGAAGTTACAGTTATACAATTCAATAGTCTGTCTAGAAATAAGTTAAATTTGTTTGAATCCAAATAGAAATATGGTAATGGTCGAGTAAGTAAACAATGATAATATTTTATTTCCTCTTTAAATGTATCACAATTTTCATTCTTAAAATATTAAGCCAACGAGAGAAAATTAGATTTTCTTTATATGTAGTTATCAGATCTAGTTTCCAATCAGCAGGGCCAAAATGTAAACTCATTTGATGGTAAAAAGATTGTTGTAAACCGAATTATGATGCGATACGGAGGATCATCGTTGAACAATCATTTGAATGGAACTCATCACTATACATCAACTTCCTTGATTATGAGAAAGCATATGACAGTGCGAATAGGAGGAAATTATGGAAAATTCTTCGATACTATGTAATGGGTATGTGAGAAAATCGTCAACATCATCCTGAATTCATATGACGGACTACACTGCAAAGTCATGCATGGAGAACAGCTGACAGATGCACTGCTGAGGAGTCCCATACCAGGTGGTCTAGCTTCAACTGACTCATGATTTCAACCTGTGAAATTTCCAAAAACTCTCCACAAAACCCATTCTCAATGAAAATCATTTCTAACAATGAATAAAAATTGAAAGTAACTTACTTTATTGCGCATATTACAAAAGAATTCATATGTATCTTTTACAACTAATTCCACCTTATTGTATATTTTGCATTTTGTTTGCATCCAACCAGCTAAATTCATTTGGGCATTATTTGATGCAAAACGTTCATCACATAAATATATAATACCATAATCTTTGTAATGGCGAATTACTCTATTTTAAATAGATTAAAATGAACAAAAAAAGAATTATTGAAATCTGTACAAAACAGTATTGTTTAAAATGGAATATGAGCAGTATAGAAACAACGTAAATTTATGGGCAAAACAGTTATATATTCATAAAAACAATGGGTTATGTAAGAAATTTTTTTATTATTAGAAAGCAAAGAAAGAGTGAATTATCTTAGTGACTAATACCACATCAAAAATATCGGGTGTGATCATCATGATTAATTAATAACAAATTCTGGGGGTGATTCAGAAAACTTCTCGCAAAGTACAAGAAAGGTTCAGGAAAACACTAAGACGCATTTTATCCAATCAGCGTTCACTTGAAGTTTAACCAGAAACATCAAGGAAGTGAGAAATCACATGTAGTTTTTGATTGGCTGATTACTATACTACTACTATGTTAGTAACATCCCAGAATTTTCGGGAAACCCAAGTTCCAGCTTGCGGGTTACGAGAATAGCTTAGGAACTGAATACAACGTTCGATTAGCAAGTCATATCACAAATAAACGAATAACAACAATTTTAACATAAAAACAACATCCTAACATGTCCGTATTAACAGGCGAACAATGTGTTGAGCAATTTTGTCAATATAAATTCACACACTGATATATATCTTCCATAGGCTATTTTAGTAATAAGCAATACTACACAATGTCTAGCTTAACAGAATTAAGTGTGATATCAATGGATATAACTAAAACTAGACGTCCTTGAGTATGTCTATGATTCAGTTCCTTTAAGCAGATAATAACCGGATTGATAAATCAACGACGGAATCTTAAACGTGTTCAACAGCCTCATAGTACATTATTCCTGAGCTCGAGTCAAAAGTTGTATGGTTACTAAAAATAAAGTCTTATTAAATATGCTAGTCGGGCTAATAACTCCTTCTGTAGTTAACGAAATAGGATCTTACGACTTTTTATTAGTGATTTTGATCGATCAAAGAGAATCGTATGTAATTCTTAAGCAATAATTATGAACTTCAAAATATTAGTTATTGTATAATTCACAAATATCTTGAAATTAGTATTATCAACTTATTTATTTAGTTCTGTAAACTATACAACTAATAAAATTACATATTATATCGAAATATTTAAGAAAATTGATTAATTAAATAGTCATAAAAACAGTGTTTTTTTATTTACCTTCCAACAGCTTGATTGATTGCACGCCATGCTTGTAAATTATACCACTGACGACCAGTTGGATATTTATCAATCAGAGTTTTTTGTTGTTGATCATTTGTTGAATTAGATTTCAATTTAACAAATTGTTCATCTAAATAAGACATTTTTAGAAGTACTCTAGGATCATGAATTGGTGCATAAGGTATACAAGTATAGCGACACCTCGACCAGCATTATCAGCTAAATCTAGCCCTTCACTTACACGTCCACGCATTACAGCGAAAAGAATTGCGCCGATTGAATTTTCAATACATGCAGTTCTTCGATATTCATTAAATATCTAGTTATGATAGAAACAGAAATATCTTAAATTTCACTAAATTATTTAAACAGTATCGTCATTATAGATCAAATAACAGTGTTAAACCAGTTTGGTGTGTGTGTGTGTGTGGGGGTATCCAATAACAACTATCCTCGAAAATTGAATGACACAGAAAATATGACATTTTCGAACTAATTAACATTCAAAGAATACAGAACAAGTTATGTTTAACTGAAAACAAGTAGCACTTTGATAAAATGTAAACATATCGAAAATATCCAACGTAGTAAACTGTAAATCATACTATGTGAATTACATAAAAACTGATAATTATCAGATTAAATTGAATGTGAAAATCATCAATTTTATTTGGTCTGCAAAACTCTGTTAATCTAAAGGGATAAATTATACAATGATCGGCTTTTTGTCAATACATCTCAGTTAAACGTACTGAAAAATTGGGGCAATTTGTTCATAAGCGAATGACATAATAATGAATACTTTGGTAAGTGAAAATTATTTGATGGATCAACTAAACCGCATATGTTGTATCATTAGTTTAGAAGCAATCAGCTACAACGTAGCACCAGGCACATATGTGCATCGGTCCAAGACCCCATGCCTCATTACTACAACAAGATGAAGAACAAATTCATAGAAGTAGTTACTTCAATGGTAGTAATATGTAAAAAGAAAGGTTGGGTATAAAGATATAATATAGGGAGAAAGAATTAGTTGGTAGAAAGAAAGATTTGAAGCGATTTCAATTGCATAGTTTAAAGGAAGACAAATTGTGATCGATTCTGAGCTATGTCACCAAGAGTCTCCAACCATTGGTTACCATAGTCACGCGGACCTCAACCAAGTAGTCTGCATCTACCAACATGGCTAAGACTAGAAGTTAGTGACTTCAAGCACTGATGCCACGTTTTAGTTTGGCCGCCCCTAAGTTCCTTCCAACCATCTCCAACACCGATTAGCATTGCGCGTTACGGTAATCGATGTTCAGGCATACGCAACACGTAGCCCAACCATCTCAGTCGATGAAGATTCACAACCTCATCAACTGATTTACCATCAATAAATGAAATTGAGTAATAAAACTTTATTAAGATGCTTCTTTCCAGATTGAACAAAGTATATATTGAAATTATGCATTGTTATAATCACCTTGTTGAACTGACTTTTTTCACGTGGTTCAATAAAAATATGTTTAAATTTTGATAATTTTTCATAAATATCACCATTCTATTTAAAAGATAAAGAAAAATTAAATATGGAGATGTAATAAAGGGATAATACTGATAATCAAAAAAAAAAAAGATTGTACATTTAGTTCTATAAAAATGATACATATTCGCGTATATTATTCGTTCCAATTGTGAAATATACATGACAATCAATTAAGTTCATAATCATCTCAACTGTAAAAATTTAATAGAAAGTTGATACATTTGTATATCAATTAAATTGAATGTTGGTTCCAATGTGTATTTTGGAACGGGGTTTCAGTAGACTTGGGACAGTATTCTGAGCACTAAAATCGTTGGCTATGGTGTCACGTGAGGAGGACGTTTACAGGTGATAGTCAAGATAGAAGGAATAATAGAAATTAAAGAGAAAAATTGATTATGAATACAGTGTCTTGAGTGCTGTTAGAGGTATGAGGGCGGCTATCACTTCCCGGTTGCCTACACCGCGGAGAGATTCCTCTAGATGTACCTTAAAAGGAAATTAGACTAGAGGTAAGCTTAGTGGCCTGAGAGCGTGACCGCAGTGCCCAAGGGACAACTGCTTGAAGTCAGTCACACACGACCTTTTTGTGAGTAATTTTCGTGTTAGCTCCGTACTTGTTGGGATCTTATCGCTAAAGACAGAAATCCGTGATAATACGAGGTGATCATTTTTAGGGTCGACCTTTCTAACACGACCCTTTCTTGTGGGAAGGCAGCATTGCTGTTATGCTGGTTGTATGAAAGAAACGCCCTACTGCCGTAACACCTCTATACAATTAGCAGCATGAATTCCCCCTCGGACTTTAAATGAACGCTTCTAAAAGTAAAATATGAGACATAACCGATTATTACAAAATAACTTGACACATTCAAATAAGCATAGAAATGATAACAATATTTTGACCATTTCAATTTTATACAAAACAAGTAAGAAGATTAGATCAAAATTGTATTTTGATCGAAACATTCAACACTGTAATCCATTAAAATTTCAATATAACGTGTAAAATGAAAGAAAAATCAATTCATGAATCAAACAATTTTACTTGTATCAGAAGGGGTTTGGTTGATATTATAGTAATTTTATTAGTTGAGATCATGAGTCAATTGAAGCTATATCACCATGGAAATCTTGGGATCGAATATTGCGAGGCGGGATCATGGAAGAAGAGTCCCATACTAGAACGAAACGGCCGTCTAGAGCTTACAGGTTTTCCATGGTGGTCTAGCTTGAATTGACTCATGATCTCAACTATTATAATTTTATTTCTTAATAAATATATTCCCTTAAAAAAAACTACCTTCCAAAATTCGATACACTGTGACATAAACGCATATGATGGAAAAAATATTAATAGGCCAGCAGGTACGACTTCAGCTAATTGAACTGGAGATCAATTACAAAAGTTGTGTCATTTGATGATGGAGCAAAAATCCAGTGAAGTTTTTCATTTAAAAAAGAAATGAAAATAACGAACAATAATTTTAGTCAGTTTAATCAAATGTAGAAATAATTATACACTGATAGATGGTAGATTATTTCTTAAAAACTAAAAAACCGTAAACAACTCTGTTCTTCAATGCTTTTGATACTGATAAGTTGAGAAAATGAAAAATCAAACAATAATCTCCGTATCAATCATTTGCAAATTTTGTATACATTCTTAACTATGACTACTATGCCGACATGGTGGTCAGCTTACCTATCCTGATGACCGAATCGAGCCAAATTGGCTGGGACACTTATTCAATAAGGTCCTAAAACTAAAAGTACCAAATTAAAGCTAGAGACCCAAGTTGTACTGCTAACTGTATGGTGTGATGGCAGTAGTGATTTCTAAGCGGTATATTCAGCGACGTCGCTTAACCACAACGTACAAAGGGGTTAAGAAAGGTAGGTCTTAAAAGCAGAATACCTCAAATTGACCAGTGGAATTTTTTCGCTGGCAGTAAGGTTAGAAAAAATGAAGCTAACATATCAAAATGTCACAAAAAGGTCAAGTGCAGCGGGCTTTTTTCTGGATTTAATGAAAACGCTACCGAGTACTCAAATTCACCCCAAATCAAGCATTATTTTTAGAAAACTTAATAAATATTCTTCCATAATATAGGCAGCAGGGAAGTGTCATCTTACACCATCAAACCTAACTATTTTCAATGAGATTATTTTTCAACTTCCTTTATATGACAGTAGAATTTTTGAAGAATTTCATTTACATTGTAACGTACACGTTAAGTTTTTGGCTAGATATAACTCATTATGCACACCTTCACCAGGCTCATCGTAAATTGAGTGCTCTTATAAGAGGACCTTTGTGGATATCTATCAGTTCATTTCAGTCGTACGACTTGGATTGATTTTGTAAACATATTGATCCCAGGTGCCTAGACCGAAATTGCTTTTTTCAGGAGGCCGATCCCAGAGCCTTTGACCTAGAAGTCTAATCCACAAGGCAGTGGAGCAACGTTAAGAGATGCAGTTTTATGGTAGCCGGTGATCGACAATAGGTTCATACGCCATTTGTTCCCTCAGGATACTGGAGCCTATGTGTATCATTGGTTAAGAATCAGGGTTTTCCAACTTCAAACAACTCGGTTCAAACGTCGACATTCTCTTTTGTTCTCTTGATATCGTGAAAAACACTACCACTGCAAGAAGGTAGTTAGCGAGACTTTCCTGGCAGTGGAGAGCGAGTTCTCCTCGCCCTCAGCTGAATCAGAGAATTTAGGGGCCCTAATAAACAGTGATACAGTGTAATCGTTTATGAAAAATACAAAGTTTTAATTAATAATAATTAACATACTTAATAGTAGACCTAATGAATTTCGATAAGCAGATGTTTCTCGTACAGAATAGGTGGCATTTAATTTCTCTCCATCGGGTCCACGTGGTATAATTGATAAATTCAATTGGTCTGGATTAATAACATGAGGATTACGGAGTGATATGGGAAATTTCCTAGATGATTAAAATTATGATTATTTTGAATGTATTAATAAAGTTAAAAATCATAACATAAATGAACATGTCAAACTAACTCGTTTAATGGTCAGATAAATTGAACAACTTTGTGCAAATTCATTTTTCATTTACAAACTTATTTATTTATGAATTAACACTGTTGCTCTTATTCACTGGTTATCAATTGATATTCCTATGAGAGTATATTTAAGCTTCGTATTTTTAATTGTAGATTGTTTTAAAATTTGTTGTTTTTTCTTTGGACGTTATGTAGATAAACCAGATACAGTTATCTGGTTACCAGGTTGATCAGTTTCTTGGTGAAAAATACTACAGTGGAAAGATGTCGTTTGATATTTTAATTGTATTGTGATGATAGCACAGTGTTCGGATTGTATTTGAAGACTCTATTGGCTTAAACTGATTTCCATATCTTATTTGTGCTTAATTATGATATTGCTAAACATATTTCTCAGATTTTATATCATAAACAATGCACATTTTGATCATTCTCAATAAACTATAGGGACGAATGATTAAATCAGAAACCATGGAATCATACAAGTTTGAAACAACGTTTTTCATAAATAAACACAGAGGAGTATTCAGTCTTCATTTTTTGTGTTAATGTGTTAATATGTCTTGTGAATCTAGAACTTAGTTCTAAGAAATGATTAAGTTATAGTGTTTAAAGTCGATTTATTAGTTCGATTTCAAACGACTCCGTAGTTTATCTACGTACTTGTTTGAATGACAATTGCTGCTCTATTAAACATCGAATTCTATTTTGTTAGATATTAAATAGATCTTATAAATTCTAAATAACTAATTTCTGTTATGAACAATGTGGAAGCAATTCTATTACAAAATATGCAGTCAAATGTAAATATATAACATAAATACGTATTCACTATACAGTTTAATGTTACCAAACTGTTAGTTCAGTGTACATAATCAACTTACAAGTTTAATTCAGCTTCTATTGGTTCAATTGGATAGAGTGTACCACTAGTTAAAATGATACAACGTACATTTTGTTGGATCAATTGTTGTATAGCACTAAATACAAGAATTTGTGAATATAAAGTGTGTGCAAGAAAAAAAAAGAGAAAATTTCAACATGACCAACACATTGAATGAATTTGATCACTGTTTGGCAGTAAATACATAAACACATTGTCAGAGTTTGCATAATATACACTTTAAGAACTACTTTATAATGTTCTCTTTCAGATAGTAGTTCGAATATTTGTAGGGAAATTTTGAGTAAAAATAAGTCACCATTTAGTACAAAAAGCTGTTTGATGCCCTATACATGCAAATGTATAACGTAGGGTTTTAAATTCATTTTATTATCCAGAGTTTAATACAAGGGATCGTTTGTGTCGAAATTCCAACTGTAATTAGCGTAAGGACTTGTATCACAAAGCATTTTAGAAAAACATTTCGTGCTTATATTTGTCTGAATGACTGAATGTGTTATTACAAAGTTAACAATTTCATATAGAATAACAATGACTTGGATGCGTTGATCTACTAAATCTTCTCCAGTCAATATTCTTAGGTAGTCAAAGATAAGGCTCTAACAATAAGTAGATCTATTATCATTCATAATATTCGTAAAGTAGAGCAAATCGTTGTAATGCATACATACTCCATAATGGATATACATCCATATGTCAAAAGCTTCATAAGTGATATAAAGATTTAGTTATGTTCCTGTACTTACATTCACTTAGTGATCAAGCAGCTTTCAGATCTGTGAAACAAATAACATAATATATAATAAATAAGTCATTTCTTGCATCCAGTAGTCAAATAGCAAGTTTCATTTACAACGTTTGACATTAATGAAAACATTTCTAAAAACTTTTCACAGTATTCATTCTATAAGCATTCTTGTTCGACAGAATAATGCTGTTTACATATCCTACACGAATTAGAAAAATTTGTAAGTACAAACTTATGTGTAGTAGGTATTCACTTGACAAAGATTACACAGTAGTGGAAGAAGTCAATCACTTCGATGAATACAATCAGTCACAATCACAATGATAGCACTAGTCAGTAGATAATAAACTGAACCGTTCGATATGAAGGCTTACTTGAATGTATGGCACAAGAGATAAAATGACAGTAACAAACACCATGGTAAAAAGAGAAAACGTTTGTCCCGATGTAACTGAATTATATTTACGCTACACAATGTTTTCTGTCACCGATTCGGACACGGCGTGGGCCTTTGGTAATACTTTTTGCAACTAAGATGATCAGTAGGTACACGAAGTGATAATATGCCTCGACTTGAAAACTCTTAGTCTATCGCAAACTAACATTATAATAGTTGAAACCTTACGACAGATGGTTCTGTTGTGATATCTATGTTCGAAGCACCACAGTAGTAATCTAACACAAAATAGGATGGGCATAAATTCAGATATCTGCCAAAGGTGACATAAATTGGTTATTAACGAGAGATATTTGCATTGACACTGAAATCTCGTCAGTGACCAGCCGACCAGAGATAGTGCAACTCACCTAGTGCCTGAAATATTGAATACACTTAGTCACTATATTTCCTGTCCGTAAACACAAAATACTGATATAGATCAGTCTTGTATTATCATTCACAATTGTTAGTATAGGGGTTGTGGAGATTATTAAGTTTTTGATTGAGATCATGAACCGATTGATGTTAGACCACCTTTGGAAACCTGGAAGCACTGGACGGCCGTCTTGTCCTATCACGGGACTCCTCAGCAGTGCGCATCCACGATTCCTCTCGCGGGATTCGAACCCAGGGCCTTCGGTCTCGCGCGCGAACGCTTAAACCACAGGACCACTGAGCCGGCATCCAACGGCGTTTATGTCTAACATCAACCAATCCACGAAATTGCGCGACCATCTTCCATTGTACTGAGGTAGATACCTGTCTCTACCCGACATGGATTAGCTCCACTGGTCACAGCTTCTCACTAGAACTCTGAGAATTTCCTCACTAAGCTAGTCACTAGGTGGTCTAACATCAATCGGTCATGATCTCAATGAGAAACTAAATAATCTCCACAACCTCTATACTAGTAATTAACATGTGCTTAGACACTATCACCATTGGGTGCCAGCTCAGTGGTCCAGTAGGTTAAGCGTCGCGCGCGAGACCGAAGGCCCTGGGTTCGAATCCCGCGACAGGGATCGTGGATGCGCACTGCTAAGGAGTCTCGTGATAGGACGAAACAGCCGTCCAGTGCTTCCAGGTTTCCAAAGGTGGTCTAACATCAATCGGTTCATGATCTCAATCATTCACAATTGTGTTAACGCTACTGAGTTGTGAGGAAATGATTAATAATCACTTCCACTTGAAATATGATCATCTGTAGAAAGTGTATTTTTACTACAACATATAATCAAATTAGAAAATAACCCACCGTCCAGGACTGAAACACCAATAACTAATTGTACGATTAGCTGCACCAACAGTAGTAGTAGTGTTAGGCTGCATATCCCAAGCATTTTTACCATACTTATTACAATTGTTAGCTGATAATATATCATCTTTAATATGTAAACGATAACAGGAGATTGAATCATTATGTTGTAGTTTAAAGTGTGTCTTGAAATTGAAAGTTACATTTGCTTCACCCGGGAGGTACCCGAACACAGTCTACAAAAAGATATATATATATATATATATATATATATATATATATATATATAATGTTTTATAGAACAAAGGATATAGTGAAACTGCTAAAAAATGTGTGTAAACGAATACCGTTTTTATTTGAAGCTGTCTTCCCGTTTACAATGATTTCAAAAGAATCAAGTCTATAAATTATTCAAATGAATATTATGTTCATTAAAATGCATCCGTTGCACTAATATAAGTTAATTGACAATAATAGTTACATTAAAATACTAAACACCTGACACACAATCTAAAGTAACTGAACTTTAACTAAATAACTCAAATATTATTTACAAGTACAATTATTTAAAAGCGAATCTCTAATCATATACCTTGACGTGGTGGTTGGGATAGCCTATCGTGGAGTACCAATCGAGATCTACTGTCTGGAGCACATGTTCCGTCAGGTTCTTCCGTGCTAGGTAGATCGGTTGAAGAACAGTAAGACTAAAAGTAACCACTTAAGGTCCGAGAACGAAGTCTTACTGTAGAGGGTTGTGATATTATTATGTGTTGTTCGGCTAAACGGTTCTGTAACAATTCGGAAGAATAGGGAGACACGCCTTTACCTTTTCGTCACTTCTGTCTACGCTCCCACTGACTGCAGCCTGGATGAAGTGAAAGATAACTTTTACACAAAGGTTTCTGAACTTTTTCAGAAAGCTAAACACTCAGACATAGTACTTGAAGTAGGTGACTTAAATGCCCGAGTAGGTAGCTTAAAACCAACAGAAAGACATTAAGGTGGGTATGAATTTGTTTATCTTGTTGTGCTAATGCGGTATGGCAACCTGGACCGATGCATATATGTACCTGGTACTATGGTATAGCTGACTGACTGACAGTCGGGAGTAACTACAAAGTCAGTTAAGCATTACACAAATAAATAGGTATGGAAACATAATCATTGACAGTATACGTGCTTGTATATTTTCATTCGAAAAAAAAACACAAATCATGGAAACTAGGCAAGATCTTAACTTTTACTTCTCATAGTCATTGACTGGAAAACGATAAGGAAAAATCATTTTATAACACATTTTACGTCTTGATTTGGTTTAGATAATAAACTGACGAAAAGAATATGTATTCACAAGAATTTATATGCGAGCTTGAGAATGAACGAACTAGAATGAGAGTGTTGTCAAGCTAAACTTGGGAACGCTGATTAAACATTAAACATTTCCCGTAATTTCCTACGAATATTTCATTGAATAACATCAATTCTTAAATTATGTTCTACTGATATGAGTTTCTCAAAAATAATAATAATCGTGAAAATTGATTGCGACATATTATTTATTCTATAGTATATAAACTAAGTACTTCACAATACCTACCTTTTGAGAGGTAATTTAAAGAAACAAAACTATCAGAAAAATTGATCAGGATGTTTTTTAATAAAAGACTCTTACTTTTAGAAACTCACTGACTTCGTGTAAACCTTTGGTTTTGCGAATTTTGACATCTAAGGATAAACGAGTGAAATTAAAACGAATAACATGAACTGGGTAATAGTTTTTTTAGATTTTATAACCCCAATATATGAATGATTTTATGTTTAGATATAAGTGTTTGATTTGAATGAATGTGAATAGCAGCAAATAAAATGTACGAATCCGTATCGCCCACTTACGCATAGGAATTGTTTACTTCGATATCTCAAGTAGCTGAAACTGAACGTCAAAGGGATCTCAAAGAAGTCAGAAAAAGACAATGACAGCCAACTCAGAAAGTTGTCGACTGTGTATCGGACAATTGTGTGTTACAATGCAGACAGGAATGGTTTGTCTATAATTCAGAGCGCTTAACTCACAGATTTATGTAATCGACTATGAGCCATAATAAATTGTGTGAGAACCAATGGTATCATCTGGTTGCTCAGATGGAAGTAGGTAGGGTGGAATAGAAACCTATTGGTTGGAATGGTTAATGATTAAAAGAGAAAGAATTCGAAATCGATATCAATGGCAAATCTATGTAAAGTTTTAAGCGTTTCTGACATTCTAAACTCAAGTATCATTAGCCGTTTATTATTTGGACTTTGGTTTTGCGTTATGCTATACCTTGAGAAAAAAACTATAAAACATTTTAAATTTCACAATGTTTAGCAGTTAGTCATTTTTTAATTTTATGACTTATAAATTTAGCCACAAAGTAGTTTCCGTAAGCATTTGAAAAATGACAATTGTGTTTGTAACGTGACTCGACTGAAGTGCTGATACTGTTGTTCACTATGACTGTAGAATAAGTGCTACTTGCTACCTATCACGATGTAACTGCCATGCCGACTCAAGGAAGAAAGCAAGACTATTCGGTAAAAATTAAAATGTCCAATGTAATATGTATCATTTTAAATGTCTACTGAATAGATTTGAACGCATTGAGAGAGAAATAGTTGACATTATTTGAACAATAATTTAATCTGTGTATGCATTACATGGTTTACAACATTTTGTGCATGAGTCAGAGCTACAGAAGTAAGCAAATGATTGTAGTATTTCACACAATAATTCAAGTAACCCCATATCACGATTGGATAGAAGCAAACTATAAACAACAACAGAGAGATAAACATTGGTGAATAGTAAGTAAATTAATCTAGATTGTGAAAAGATGATAGAGAATTATGATAACCGAAATTGAGACGTTTGTATAAACTGTGAAACGTTAACTATTTTTTTTCAACAAATAATTTGTTACATCCCGTACATGCTCTAAGGAAAATTAGATTAATTAATTAATCCGATTCAGCAGTCATAGATGGATACCAACAATTTTCCTAGTCTATTGCGCTCATATTCAGTTTGGGCACATATACAGTCTAACATGATATACACAAAAACAATCAACAGTTTGACAGACTGCACTGATTAACTGACATTAACAGCTTTATATTGGTCTGATCTCCTCTTTTGAATACAAAACTCTTTTAAAAAACATTACCAAAATTAAATAAGAAATAATGCATACGATAACAATTACTATCGTAATAATTTACTATGTGTTGAATTGGTGAATGACATAATCTCATCGATTACGGTTTGTAGGGTATTATTGGTCCAGTGATTGATTCCAGCTCGACTAAGAAGATCAAAGATGAAACTAAATAGAAGTTTAAAAAAAAACGGATTGCGAATTTTAAAAAAACGGTAGTGACGTGGGCACATTAACAAATGATTAAATGTTATTACATTGATGACGTTTCAAGGTATATATCATCACTTTTGAAAACACTGACATTTAGTTAAACGAGTATTATTTTGCGCTACTTTTTTGTTTCAATGATTTATTGTGTAAATTATTACATTTGATTGAAAAGTTATGTTGATAAAATGCAGAAACGAATGGTCGTTTGCGGTCAAATAAATGTACACAGTAAATCAAATAGACCATTTGTGCTAATAATTTACAACTATCCGAATCACAGTTGTAGAGGCTTGTAAAATAAACAGGTACTTATGAATTTAGTTAGCATTCAAGTGTACAGTTTACATAGATTCTGGTTATCTTCATATATGGAACATCTAAAATATTATATCGTAAGTAATCATTATTTAACTAAAGAATCGAGCTTTATTGAAAGAAACAATTTGAAAATAATATTCTACCTTTTAATGAGGTCGATAAATTTCAAACGATGAAGGATACAACTTTGAGCATTCATCTTTCAACTGCATTCAGTGATACAATTGTCAATGAATTTTAATTTATTTATTTAATACACAGAGTTTTATATACCATTGAAATTAGTCCCCCCCACCATCTAGCCAAACAAGTTGGTGAAGCCTAATGGGCCTCTCTAGAGAGAAACAGGCCACATCGAAGCACGGCACAACTACCAGGGCTGGAATAGCTGCTTTTGTAACCAGTTGGAGTTTGCCCCGTGAGGAGTAACCTCGTACATTACATGTGCCACTTTTGTCAATTTTTTGTCGTTTTTCCATACAAGAGTAATTGTGCTATGTTTCTTTGTGGAGTTCGTAATCCATTTGCGGGTATCGGTCGAGTGGGTGATTAACTCGATCTCTACCACCTGGGTTACCACTCACGTTATTTCATGAGTCATTCGTCCCACTATCCAGGATGCACGACGCGGACGTGCGAGTCAGATTTCGGACTTAGTAATCATATGAAATAATATTAACAAATAAAGTAGTGACTAAATTATTATTACTATTATTATTATTATTTAAGAAGCAAATGACTTTCTAGATCCTACAGTATATAATTCAACCAACGTGAAAAAATACGGTAATCAATGACCAAATAGTAACTAGCTCTATTTGATATATATCGCCTCATTCCAATAAACGGCTTAAATGAATTTTAACAAATTTCGAGACAACCAATGACCACATAGAATAACTTACGCGCCATCTTTGGTAAGACCTTCAGGAGGGACATTTAATTCATCAATTAATCTTTCTAATTCTATCAACTGTCCTAACATAAAATAGGTTAGTTATACAACAATGCATACCACTAACCTTTTAATGTAATCATTTTTTCAATGCTCAAAGCTTCAACTAGAAAACGAAAAAATGTCAAGTGAAATATCATCTTTCAATAAACATAACATACTTGCATTTTCTTCAGGATGTGTCATATCAAACAATCCTTTTCTATTCATTATAACTGAGAGTTTTTGTTCACTATTTTGATTTATGTTGCAGTTACTGTCTGAAAGTTCTATTTCTTGATGCTCCTTAGTATGATCAAATACAACTTCGCACACACATTTAACATGTTCAATAGCTGACGCTAATAAAGCAGAACTTAATGTCACTGATGAAGCATCTTCGCATACTTGCTCCTATCCAACAACAAGAATAGAGCGAGAGAAATGTTTACTGTTGAATTACATTAGCTTCGGTAACTGAATTAGTAAAATTAAAACTGAAAATATAATAAGTATCTAAGCAAGTTCGCTATCAACTATAATATTCAAAACACTGCATGATAAATCATTGGTGAGAACGAATTCCATCTAACTACATAGCCGCTTATTAATTGAAGTACTATAGGAAAATATTTCGTGAACATTCGCCTACATCGCAGATCAACGACCAAATAGTCCATTAACTAATAATATAGTTTAGTATGATTATTATTAAATATTCCGATGACCATAACAGAAGAGTACAGAAAGGCAAGTGGCGAAATGTATCCTAACCATCAAAAGTCAATGACTTCTTGGACTGATGCCATGTCTTGCTTCGAGCAACTCTGGCTTTCTTTCAACCTGCTCCCACATTAGACATCGCCTACCTTGGTGAGCAGTGGTTGTGCATACTTAACACATGTCCAAACCACATCAGCAGATCAAGATTTACTGCCCCACCAGTCGATTTGTCATCTTTGTTCAATAACCTATCCATAAACCAGACATTACTTACTCGGTAGTCCCAAAATACACGAGAGATTCTTCAAAGACACCTAACATCAAATACTAGTAGCCTGCGAATATCCTCCATTCTTAATACACAGGTTTCATACCCATACAGTAAAACGGAGCAAAAACATGCGCAGTAAACTTATCCTTTGGTTGCCGACGGATATCTCCTTTAAGTCACAAGTAACGCTAGTTGGCAAACATCCACCATACATAGGCCTGTTACAACTCATGGAGAAGCATAGTCCGCTCACCATCATCCTCCATAAAACTTTCCTGGGCAATCCTTTCCAGTCACTATTCATCCCATTCATGTCTACTTTCAATTGTTGATGCAGTGTGGTCTTTGGTCTTCCTTTTATCTGTTCCCCTTCACAAGTTCAAGTTAGCGCTTGCTTCGAGATGCAGTTTGATAATTTTCTCAATATGTGTCCTATCCAACTCTTCTATATCTTTTCCTAATTTCCTCTTCATCTGGAATCTGGTTTCTTCTCTCCCATAGTAGGCTGTTGTTAATGATATCCGGCCAACGGACATTGAGTATCTCATGTAGACAATTGTTTATAAATACTTGTACGATTTTGATTATGGTTGTAGTAGTTCTCGAAGTTTCAGCTCCGTACAGTATAACTGTCTTGACGTTCGGATTGAGGATTCTGAACTTGATTTTGACTGACTGACAGTTGTTTTCAGTTCCATATGTTCTCCAACTTTATGAGTGAGGCCCTTGATCTGCCAACCCTTACATTTACGTCCGCATCAAATCCTCTTTGTTCATCGATGATGCTACCCATATACATGAACGTTCCCACCTCTTCCAGAACTTCTCCGTCAAGTGTGATTGGGTTGGTGTTCTCTGTGTTGCATTTGAGGATGTTGCTTTTTCTCTTGTGTATGTTGAGACCTACTGATGCATACAGAGGCTGCTGCTGCTGCTGCTTCTGCTTCACTGATTTTCTTGACCTGCATATGTTGATGTGTATGAGATAGAAGAGCCAGATGGTGGAGAAGATTTGTAGCTCAGATGGGATGATTTTGATGGAGTTTTATTCCCTGAGCTGGATGGTTTAGTCATGGAGCTTTCATCGTTCAGAAGAAAACAAAACAAAACTCCATGAAAATAGAACATCCAGGTGATCTGCGAAGTCCAAATCGTCTAGTTGCATCCAAGCTATTCATTGTATTCCGTGCTTCCCCTCCGATGTCGAGGTTTTCGTAATCAAGTCAAACACTCGAAGAAAGAGAAAGGTGGAGAATAGACAGTCTTGTCATACATCGGTCCTTACTGGGAATGCGTCTGTCAGCTGTTCTCCATGCATGACTTTGCAGTGTAGTCCGTCATATGAATTCAGGATGATGCTGACGATTTTCTCACATACCCACTACATAGTATCGAAGAATTTTCCATAATTTCCTCCTATTCGCACTGTCATATGCTTTCTCATAATCAAGGAAGTTGATGTATAGTGATGAGTTCCATTCAAATGATTGTTCAACGATGATCCGTAGTGTCGTGATTCGTTCTTTGCACGATAATCCTTATGGGATCTGACCTGTCGACCTCGAATTCGAGCGTCCACTGAGTATTTATCCGGTTCAGAAACACTTTATTACAAACCTTTCCTGGTACTGACAGTGTTGTGATTCTTCACACATTCGCTCAGATTTCCTTTTTGGTATAATGATAAGTTATCCCTATTTCCAGTCTGTCGGCACTTGTTCTTCCTCCCAAATCTTCGTGATAAGAACGTGGACCATGTTTGCAGTTACTTCGACGTCTGGCTTCACTGCTGTGGCTAGTATGTTTTCAGGTTCTGCTGCTTCCCCACTTTTGATTTGTCTGATGGCCATCCTGATCTCTTCGATCGTTGGTCGAGTGACACTAATTAAAAGTTAGTGCGTTCTGGCTGTTATATAGCTGTTTCATATTTCCTTCTCTTACAGCTTTATTCGCCATCGTTACTCGCTCTTGATGTATCATCTTTATTCACTAACATTCCACTACAAGAAACAGTTGATTTTATTTGCAATGAACTAACAGAGAGACGCATAGAAACCCCGATTCCAGCATCCGCGATAAAACAGTTAATTCTCAGATGCACAATGAATGCACAATTCAGATTTGACAACGAATACTATAGACAGCTAGATGGAGTTGCCATGGGATCACCATTGGGCCCTCTACTGGCTGATATTTTCCTTGCAAAACTGGAAAACGGACCACTTAAAAGCATAATTAGCCATTTACCAACTTATTATCGCTATATAGACGACACCTTCATAGTACTAGAAAAAGAGAATGATAAGGACAATTTACTTAATACATTTAATAACGTTCATCCATCAATTAATTTTACATCAGAAGATGAACAGAACGACAGCATATCATTTCTAGATGTCCAACTAAAAAGAAGATCAGACGGAACTTTAAAAAGAGGGGTACACAGAAAATCTGCAGCAGTACAATACACTCATTTCTATAGTGCAGTTCCATTGAGATACAAAAGGAACTTGATAAAAATCTTGACACATCGGGCTAGAATGATTTGCTCTGAAGACACCATCGAAGAAGAATTGAATAATATTCGGAACCTACTTAGCATGAATGGGTATCCCATGAAATTCATCGACAAACATATGATGGAGAAGAAAACAAGGACAAAGATACCCACCGTCCATAAGAAGGTACTATTCATAAAACTACAATTCATAAATGACACCATTGAAGAAACCTTGACTCAGAAACTAAGAAGAGCCGTACAAAAAACATTTAATGCTGCCAGATTAAATGCAATCTTCTACAACTATCCTAAGATAAGAACAGCCAACAAAGACAGACTGCCTGAATTCGCCAAATCTATGTGTATCTACCGTTTCAACTGCTCCTGTGGAGCCAGTTATATTGGGCGTACAATTCGGCAAGTCCGTCATCGCATTACTGAACATCATCCGTCGTGGTTAAACAAAGGACAGGTAAAAGTGATTAAAAGTTCTATTCTCTCTCACTTGGTTGACACAGGTCATCAAGTCGAATTGAATAAAGCTTTTAAGGTTATCTACAATATCCCATCTAATTTGCCACATGGTTTACGAGTGCGCCTCTTGCACATTGCGGAAGCCATCGCAATCCATGTTCACAAACCTGACCTTTGCATTCAAAAGAGATTCGTACAACCACTTTCCCTGCCCTGGCCATCAGTTTAAGATTTCCTTCAAAAGAACTATTTTTCATACTTCTTCCTTTTTTTTTTAAAACTTTTGTAATTTTATTTCTGTTGCTTTTGAACTTAATAACTTCTCAACATTCATCTCTTGATTCTTACGTAACTACCATCCTATTGACCATCCGTTAAAATTCTGTTCCTTCTTTGTTTCTTACATTACGCAACTTAGCAACTTCTTGATCACTTTGAATATTAATAATCCTCTTTCTTCCAATTAATCAATGTTAATTTAAATGTCATTATGTAATTATTACGTAACATATCCACTCGATGAGTATTATATTATTATTGTAAAACGTATATATATTAGTGTAGAGCCATGATGAAAAACTAATTGAAAAGAAATTTCTTCGCTCAATTCGTTCCTTCTTTATTTGACAAATGGCAAAATGGGAATATTTTATTTAACTAACTAAATAGGTATGTAGATCCATCACATAACTTACAATATTATGAGCTTCATCGAAAATAACTGTTGTATTTTCAAGATTAATATTATAAAGACTTCGAATCTACGAAAGTTAAAAAAATTAACAAATTAAACAAAATGCATGAATATATATACATCTTGTAAATGATTGGAAAGTACTATAACAACTGTGATTATGTAATTGAAAAATATAATGAATGTACGTCAAGAAATTGTGGAAATTAAGGTATTTTTAGGAAAAAGATATAATTATCAAGAGCAACCGTTAGGGCCATGATGACACTCGAAGTAGGCAGCAGACTTAAAAACAGCTACACCTATACATGTGGCGTAAAATTACTAGCCCTTATATTTTAAGATGTACCAGATGGTGGATTTCGCAAGTCAGTACTGGGTAAGTGGGTTATAGTAGTATTACTTAGTAATTTGCAATAGTAGTTGACTACCCGTAGTCATCTCACATCTTTTATGACACAACTTTTAGCTTAGTATTTGAAATGGAACAAAACAGACAATAGGATAGCGCGATCGGTTTTGATTTTTAGTGCTGTGTGATGATTTCGAGCGACAGTTGGCACGCGTTCTACTCTTCCTACCTAAAAGTTGTAAAGATAATAATCATTGCTGCTTAACAGTCATGTGGAAGCCCGTGCCTTAGTCTGCCAGTTCCAATGGTCATGTAATAAGAAGTCATACTGTTCAACTTCGGTAGAATAAATAATATTTCGCCTTGGCATTAAAGAAAGAGTGGCGATGTTTGAATTTCTAAGGTACACTTCCACGTAGGCAAAAGTGATTCAGTTATAGAAACCTGTCGTCTGATTTAAGTGTAATCTCTTCGAGCTAGCCAATTTGATTTTTGAGATACGTTGTCACATACCATGTTCTAATACCCAGTATCTATTAGTGTTGAATCTGTTACGAACTTCGGAAATTCATCTCTTTCTTGCTCAATTCTTGTTTTACACTACACTATACTAACTGTCATTATTTAGTAGTGTGTTACGTCCAGTCATTTTAAGAACCTGCAAAGTTATGATGTTTTTTATCTCAGAGATCTGATTATTGCAAATGCTTCAATTATTTCTCGATCTTTAGATTCGTTTTCATACTTCTAGTGCACTTTCCTCTCTGTTTCTATTATTTTATCACTATTATATCTGTTATTCATTTGAGTTTTGTTAATTCACAACAGCTTGCCTATTTTAAAGTGATAGGTGTCATTTTATTATTGTTATTCCCTAGTACCCTTGACAAAGGCGTGTGTTATCCTCTAATTTATAGCATGTTTTGTAATTTTCCTCATATACAATTATTTGAAAGCCATACTCTATTTTTGACTGTTCTTTTGGTGGCACAATCAACATCGGGCAACCTCTCGATTAGAGATTTGCAAACCTCATTTCTAACTGTGATTTTTGTACCAGTTCCCTGTTCTACATACATTTCATGTTATGATTTTGTGCGCTACACGATTATCGAATTAGAATCCTGAAAAGGGTTACTAGATTAGCTAGTAAAACGTACCCGTAGTCGATTTATGTTAAAAGACTGTTATGACTTCTGGAATATATATTAGATATGGTTCTACAGTAAATAATAAGTTGCTTAGGTTCAAACTAACAGAAAAAAAGATAAATAAGCTACAGCAATCAATTTTCAGTACATACCAAAACAATAGAGACTGGTTTAATTCCGTATAAGCAAACCTGATAAAAATTGCATCAACTAAGTAGAAAATACTTAGATTACAATTAACATGTAAAGGTGAACCTTGAGTACATTGACGATTCAATCAGAGTACAGAAAGCTACTTCAATGTTATAATGCACATTCCGATAGTTAGTGACGTTTATCGAAACATCAAAGCAAGCTATTCTTTATCAGTCATACTGAGTTTAATTTTAATGGAGCAAATATTATTAAGTACTTTAAAAACATTAAATTCCTATGAACAACATTAACTTTCAAATGAAAATGAAATGATTGTGCATGGATTTAAAGAAATACATGACACAGTAGTATTTCGCTACAATGTTTTTAGGGTTAGGATTTTGCTTAATTGTAGGATTAGGTATATGGTTTAGGGATTAGGAATGAGGATTTAGTATTAAAAGTTATGGTTTAGATAAACTAACCCCGAACCACGATCCTAATCTCAAATTTTAACTGTTAGGAAACTATGGATGACCGAAAAATGTTCATTAATCATGTTAAGACAATGTATTCTTTGTAAATTTTTTAGTTTTACACAATAATTTATTCACTCATGTTTGCTACTTCCTGATCTTTTGAAATGGTTCAAGATTTCATTGTCGTTTGAGAGTATAATTTAGACTAACCACCACTAAAATGAAAGAATAAATCTTGGAATAAAAGTTGAGTTACTGTTAAGTAGCATAGTTATCATACACAAATCTCACAGGAATCCTGTAAATTCGATGAGCAGGTCGCTAAGCCGCCTTTACAGATTTAATTTTTGTACCCCTTATTATTATGTAACGAAAGTTTTCTGATGTTAATAACTCAGCTGGCGAGCCATATTATTTTTACTATCAATTGCTTTATTCAATATTATATTTTTGGTACAATATAGAATTATATGGACAGATATAAGTAACATATATGTACGTTACATAGTAAAAATGCAGGTAGAATAGGTATCATAGTTACCAGTAATCATTAATCAAGATGAAAGAGTTCATTTAATGGTAATTAAATTGAATAGGTACTCGCTCAACTTGATGAAAAAACAACATTCAAGTCTCTTGGGGACACACTACCCTAGTGCAGAATAATATATAAAGAACTACCTGAACCTCCGGAAAAATATATTTATAACCTATCTCATCCCTAAAAATCGTGCTGCCATGGAATCTTCATTCTGAGTAGAGGCAGCCACAACAATTGTAATGAACGAAGACATGAGCAGGAGAAATTCATTATATCATGCGGAATTACAGTATCTTTGCAAAATATGAAAACAATGTATCAAGTAAGTTATTTGCACATATCTCTTGAATTATCTCTTAAAAACTACATCGTCCTTTCATTCCTGTTTTTAATTTGATTACTCTTTATTTTCCTCTTCTATCAGTAAGAAATCTACTTCTAATCCCTGACACATAGTACTTATATCTGTCCGTATAAGCAGCAAACACCAGATATTTGCCGTTTTAATGGGAGTATCAACAATTTAAAATAGTCCAGATAGATAAAATCATTCAGTCTGATAGGAAATCATACTTCGCGTCGTTATGGTATGTAGGCTAACCTTTCCTTTAACTCCGATCATTATCTAAATGTGGTAAAATCTGATTGCTAATTAAGACTAATGGTCTGAATAATACTTAACAATTGTTAATCATAGTAGTTACTAAACACAGAGACAGAAATACATACAAAGGTAAAAGGAAATACTCACTCGAGGATCAAGCACGTAATTATAAGGCATGAAAATCAAAGATGAATCGGTTTTAAGTTCTCTCGATATGAAATAAGGACAACATCTAAACGAAAAAACAGTACAAATTTATTTTAGAAAACATATGGAAATGTTTATATTTCTATAAGGTGAGTTGTAAGTTGTAAAATACTTTTATCTACTCGTCATAATATGTAACGAATATCATTGAACAACCGTCATAGGAAAATGACACGATCCCCTCCAGCTCTTGATGCAGTTCATAAGGTAGTATCTAGCGGAAAGAGTGAGACCAACAGAACCAGATAGATTTACTCGACAGGACTTCAAGTACGGCGGTCGCATGTTAGGAGGTAAGTTGATTGAGATTATAACTAGAGTTTGGTGACGGGATATAATCCCGTCTGGATAATCCCGATCACTGATCGTCTCAGATTATAAAAAGACAGAAATCTTCTTGTGGTGACCACAGAGGAAATAGTTTGACCAAAATAGTATTGAAAACACTGGCCTCTATAATCATCTGTCGCCTATCTGCTGCTCGGGAACAGAAAACTAGGAGTGAATGTGATGCATTGAACAAATATTCACCCCTTTCAAGATTCCAGAAGTATACTCACCAGATACTGATTGTAGTTGTTTTCTGACTTAAAGACATTATTCAACTCCGTTGATCGACAGGTTTTGTGAGTTTTTGTTAATAAAAGTCGTAACAAATAAGTATGTGAACCTAGTAAATGCTCTGTATTTGAACACTTAGTTGAGTCAGAAATTATGGCAAACTGTCACCATAATTGTCAACCACAAGTGGTGTTCGTCAGGGTTATCCACTACCCTCATTTTTATTAAGTTTCATCATAGATGTCCCCTTAGAAATCGAAGTTTTAAGATCTAACTTTTGAAGGGTTGATTTCCTATCAGGAGATTGACTTATCGACTTGATATACACAGATCATATTGTCTTATTTCGTGAGGAAATTGATGAGATATAGTCTTCTGACTCCCTTAAGCAATAATGCCAGCGTGTTTGTCATGAGTTTCTCTCTAAACGCACAATGATACTTCAGGACTGGTCTGCCTTGTTACCTAGATCGATCACAGGGAATGAAGAAGTTGAGTTTCAGTTGCCTCACTTATTATAGAAGTCTCATCATCTCTGGTGGGATGGTGTCTGGTGAAATATAGGCAAGGATTCGAAAAGCCCAGTTGGGCTTTGTAAACTTGTTTCACTTGTGGAGTAGGTGAGATGTTTGTTTGTCAACCACGTAGAGAGTATACTGAGCAGCTGTATGCTCCGTTTCAATTTATGTCCACAAAACATGGTCTATGAAAGTAGAAGATATGTGTAGACTGTAGGGTTTTCTGCATGAATTTCAAGGTATTCCTCTCTTTTCGCGAAGCGACAGAATAAATGATGCCGAAGTTATGCATAAAGTACTTGGAAAATGTAGTAAATTGATTGATGAGGTAGTAAATCTTCGTCGACTAAGGTCGTGAAGATACGTGTTAGATATCCTTAACCAGTGCATACATCGACGGGGGCTGTTTGCTTGCGTAGGAGTAGGCTAGAGGAAAGCTAGGGATTGTCAAGATAAAACAGAATATCAGTTCAGAAATTCAATTTCTGTTGATCTGAGATGTACAGGCAGGTTCAGACTACCTGGTTGGGTCTGCATAATTATCTTACCCAATGGTTGGAGACAGTGAGCGTCATGGATCAGATCCGACCACAACGGTGCAGGCACATTTATAGTTCATACCCGTCTAGATATTGAGTTCCACCACTTCTTCATAAATACTTTCTCTTCTGTATTTACAAACTGTATACCTAATGCTAAGTCCTCCTCATTATAATTGCTACAAAATTATTTCGACTCCTATAATATTTAACTTGTTAGTTTCATTGTGCTAATTTGGTACTGTGACGTGGGCCAACACACATCTGTGCCATCCACTACGTAGATTATGACTGGGGCGACATTTTTCACAGAATGAAATCAGTTGGATACAATTGAAAACCAAGTTATATTACAGAATCCCTCAGCACCCAAAATTGCACCTGGGATCAGACCTATGACTTACATGTCTTGAAGTGAGCCTTTAACTATTAAACCATTTAGATGGAATACAACAGTCTACATCCACGATTTCATTTAATTTGTGGCACTGTGCAACAACCATTAAATACCATTATTGATGACTGTTTTACTCTTAACGGTACTGATGTCAATATATGATGGATTCAATTCAATCAAAAATCTCTCAGAGAGATTTTAGATAGTCGTTTGTTTTATAAAAACTAGTGGAATAAATAACTTATCAATTTTATATCAATTCATATACAAAGCTTCGGAAAAGTAAACGACACTACTCTTTGACCAAGGAGTGAGTACATAAGATACTGGTGATCAATTGTTGTAGACATTGTGTGACAGCCGAAAATTGACTAGAGTGTTGCTGAAACACTCTCGTTTATAATCTTTCTCCAAATCTTGATTAACAAAATTATTTAGTACATTTTATCCCCTCTCATTTTTTTCCAACTACATTTTCTATATGTTGTCTTACTATTAGGGTACTGTTAGTGTTTCGGCTACTTTGTTATTAATCTTGTTACTATGATCTCATGACGACGACATCGTGTGGCAACTTGGAACAAAATAGATTTTTTAAAGTAATACATTACAACTAACTGACTAACTTCGTAAACAAATGAACACTGATAGAAGGCTCTCTCAATCTATACACAAGTTATTAACAGGAAAGCAAACATGATCAAATGTCACAAGCTACAGAGGAAAATCAGTTTTGTAGATCACCCACTCTTCAGTAAATTGCCTAAATCCTGCCCATTAATCCTATCAGTGGTAAAGGAACTGAGGTAAAAAATGGAAGCAGAATGGTCAGATTTAAAACCGCTTAATGCCACTGACAGTAATAATGTTATTCTTTCGTTCTATGACTGTTTATGATAATAATCTTAGAAACTTATTATTGGGAGTTGGTTTTAACTGTTAACATCCGATCACAAGGCATTTGTAAATTGCTATCACTAGATGACTTCTCAATAATTGATGTTATTTTCTAATACAAATAAGGGATATTGTTTTTTAAGTTTTTCTAACACCAACTACACCATTCTGTAAGCTGTTAAGAATGGGTTACTTAAAGACCAAATGATTAACAACTTGTGACAAAGATAAAATTAATTCATGTGATTACTAGTGACTAGCTTCTAAAAGGAAGTCTCGGAGTCCTAGTGAGAAGCCATGACCAGTGGATTTTAACCGTGTAAAGTGTGAGGCAGTTACCCACCGAAGACAGTAGAAGATGGTTGCTCAATGTCATGGATTAGTTGAAGCTACACAATAACACCACTGAATGCCAGGTCAGTGGTATAGAGGTTGAGCATCCGCGCGGGACTGAAGATCCCGGATTTGGGTCTCGCGTACAGGATCGTGGATGCGCACTGCTGAGCCCTATACTAGGATGTTATAATTTCTTTTATTTCTATCGAAATACTCGTATTGCGCAGTATTCTTGGACCCTGCTTCACTCGACAAGTCCCCAAATTAGAACATGATTGAATAGGAGCTTAATTATATTCCAAATAAAAACGTTAGATGAAAGTAGGGATCACAATAAGAAAAACGTTAGTATATTTAAAATAAGAAGATTCTGGAATATTGTTCAAGTTTCTTCAAGCGTTGGTTGGATAAGAAATAGCCAATCAGCGTGCCTCAACACAATCCTTCATGGAATATGCTTCAATTCAATTTATATACCGCTAATATAGGACGATACGGCCGTCCAGTGCTTTCAGGTTATCAATGGTGGTCTAACATTGATCGATTCGTGATTTCAATGTTTAAACTAACTTATAACTAATCAAATGTTTATAATTGTGTGATAAACCGACTAAATGTCAGTCTAATATTCATAGTTGATACTAAATAAATGTGATTATACGTTCATGATATTCATAGTTTGTCCGATAGTGATTAAACTCCTATTTTTTTAAAGCTAAAGTCTATGGAGATTGGGAACATAGATTGCTGCTGTTTGAATTTAGTGTGAAATTCAAATGTAATGGGTGTGTATAATTGGATAGTATTAACTCAACTACACACAATAATTGTACTTCATAGTCGTTTTCACCTCTTTGATTCAAATGGTTCTCAACACTGTTTACAGAATTGGACAGTTTAGTTAAAGTTATATTTATTATACTAACCAACATTATTTACACCTATCTTTTAGGAGAGAAAAAAAGAGCAAGAGTTTACAATCTTAATAACATAAAGAGTGATTGATTTGCCCGTTAGAGAATTCTCACATTTCTCAATCTATCGTTATAGTCATATTTAATTTTTTTTTTTTTATGATAACATAATGAGAAGGGAATTTATGGAATCAAATAGAGAGAAATTCTTACTTTATTTTTTGACCATAATTAGATAAATCTTCAATATCGACAATACCTTCAGATTTTAAATTGGTTAAAATATCATCACGTTTAGCTGAATAATAAGAAATGAAACAATAAATGGTTCATAATTATTTATCACATATATATATATGCTATATTATTATAAAAGTAGTATATATTCAAAAACTAATTAAATAAATAAACAGGAAAGATATGAAATCTAATATAGGGTTTATACAATATTATTGATATATCAAGTGATTGGTCATTGAGCAAAGATAAAGATACAGATATGCTAGATGTATGACATTATATAATAATACGGATTTCTTCTTACAAATGATTTTACTGTACTATATTCTGGATTTCAGACAGTGTTAACAAACGGTTACTTTAGTTCAGACTGTATAGTTCTCAGATGCTGGTTAAAATTATCTATCTGTATATCATGCAGTTTAATCTAGTGATCTAATTATCGAGTATTATTATATAGTGTTCCTAGCCGACTATATGTAGTTAATAAATTTTTGAATTAACTAACTTATTAGATGCGGCTGTGAGCTGCACTATAGGTGTGAGGGCTGGTTCCTCAAACTAAAGTAGGTAGAACGGGTTTCGAATCTAGGACTTTGTTATAATCTCTTTCTTCTTACGGTTATGACCCAGCTATTCCTATTGCTTAGTATTCTCGGATAGCGATTCACTCGACAAGTCCCCAAATCAAAACACGGTTGAACAGGAAGAGATTATATTCCAAATAACAAGGTTAGATGGAAGTCAGAAGCACAATAGAGAAAACGTCAGTATATTTATAGTTTTTACATAAGAAGATTCCAGAGTATTCTCCAACTATTGACTAGTGCTGATTGGATAAGAATTAGCCAATCAGCGTGCACCAAAGCAATCATCCATTGAGCATGCTTTAATCTAGTCTATATCCCGCTAACAGACTTAATGGCTGAAAGTCGAACGACTTAACCGCTAACAGATTACTCTTTTATATATATTAATACATATTATATTATTATCTCGTCATTATATCGTACCACACATCTAGTTTACATTAGACATTTACGTTTTCTTTTAAAACAATTTCGCAAAAATGTAACAAAAAAGTCATCAACAAAACGACCGTCAGAAAAGGGAATCAAGATACTGAAAGAAGTAAGGCGATAAAAAGGAAGTAAAATGGTGCTATATATATAATTTTTGTAGTAAAATGAAAAGTGAGTGAATTTACGTCTACCACGTTTAATGTTAAGTTGGTACTCAATGGTATAATTTCATTCACAACTTATTTTCTGCTTTGAAAGTATAGTACCACGTTAGTCACTTCACTTCCACCGATGAATGTAGTTACTTAGTATAGCTAACAAATGTAAACGACACCATGAGAAGTCATGATCAAAAAGACGAAGTACCATAAAATGTAGAACTGGAAGTAAACTCTCCAAGTATTCAGCATCTTTGAGTTTACAATCTGTAAATACCATGATAATACTGAAAATATTTGAACTAGGAAAATACTACAGTAGGTTTAATACATTGATACGAAATGTGACAATATGAGTTGATCAAATAAGAAAATAAATTTTACATATTGGCATACTTACAGTCAAAATTCCTGAAATATTCACACGTTCTCGTTTGGACTCTCATACGGCACGCATAAATTTTGGCAGAATTCGACTCTAACGATGTTACATCGGGAAGAAGACACAATTGGTCTCTTGACCCGACGACACTGACGCTATGTCTTTAATGTAGTGGAATGAAGTTAATCAAAAACTCTAATTAGTAGGTAAATAAACTGAGAGAAAAAGCATTTATTCAATTGCTAAGTGGATATAAATCAACCACCTAAATTAAGTGATTTGACTTTTAACGGACGAATATATCTATGGAATGACATGACAAACTACTTTTCCCGAAATTATCTGATGGAAATAAGTTGTTAATATTAAACCGCTATAAAAGATGGGACTTTAAATTAAAAAGAAGTTCAGTCTCCTGAAATTAGTTACAAAAGTATAAAAATATATATCCATAAGTAACGTGTATGATTTATGTTCTGAGTTGGTTGGTGGTAAACACATGTAAAGGGAAAATAAGAAGTTATAGAAAACCATACTCCTTTTAGTAGTCGAATCACCGTTACTTGACAAGATTATACAGGAGCTAAAGATAAAATGACTACATTTTTTGTTCATTTTTGAGCATAAAATGGTTGTCATAAACAGTCATTTATTACAGGTGACATAAATCTGGAATAAAACATTCAAAATAACTTTGATTTGATTTAACATATCATCATTTGCTTTTGGTAAGTTTGATAATAACTATGTGAAAGCCAAGTTCATCATTAACTCATTAATCGAACCAAAATAACTTTTAATAAACCTTAAACACCAAGTCGTTCATCGCATATTTTCACACTGATTAAGAATAACAATCAGTGATAATGATTAACAAAAAGAATCCACTTGAAAGACTGAATAACTTTTCATAATATAAGACTGAGAAATAATGTATTATTTATTACGTTCTAATTGCGATGAGTGGCAGTAATTCCAGTCTATAAAAATTTCCGATTATACAGCATCAGAAAAAAACTACCAAGGTTACTACCATAGTGACAATATTTCAAGTGGTGATCGATAAACTTTGACCAGCAAAAGAACATGCTTTTATCACCATCAACAAATGAAGGCACATTACATTATTACTCCATTGATATCTATTACGCTTAAAGAATAACTGAACTGATAAAAATATTAGTTATAACACTTTTACGTACAACGAAAATCGTTTGAAAAAAAAACCTGTTAATACGGTCTTAACTTACCTTGAATAAACCGTCCCTTTTAATGCATTAATAGCCTGTGCTAGTTGTGAATGGGTTCTTGATGCAAAAATAATCTTACATCCATTATTCACTTTACCCAAACTTGCAAGAAAATTTTGATGAGATAACGTATTATCAACATTATCACTGGTAGGCCGTTTACCCATTGTATTTTGATGTTTAGCATTTGTTATTGATTGTACTGAATTCGCTTGTTTATCAAGCCATGCCAATGAAGCGCATAACAGGCATAACGTTTTACCGGTACCAGTAGGTGACTCCAAAATGGCATGTTTACCCTAAAACAATAGATTTTCAAGAATTACCATACTTAGACAAACATACAAAATAAGAACATGAATATTTCGATAAAATAAATGAGTCGGTTTAATTTACTATGATTTGCACAGAAAACAAAAACATTACCAAATTTACTAAATCCGATAAAAAACATAAAATCAATATGATGGAAATACTACCTCATTTAATGATAACAGAACTTTTGTCATATATTCAATTTGGCAATCATATGGTTGATAAGGAAAATCAATCTCTACACCATCGATTGCAATTTGTGGCATGTTTCTAGCCCGGGTTTCAGTGTTTAAATCCAGTAACTTTCATATAGAAACAAGGATTACGTCAGAAAAATTTTAGCCAAGCGACATTAAGTTGAAGGATATTACCAGAGAAGGTTGTTTGAGTGAGAACTAACCACCTGTGGAAAAAATAAGGGTGACAGAGTAATAAACCTTGGGAACAATGATGTATCATTTGAAATTTTATCAAGAACTCTTATTCAAAAAAGTGAGGGAAAACAATCAGTACAGAAGTCTTTCATCATTATCTTTGACTTCTTAACAGTTTTAACCTTCGAATAAAAGATTATGACTACCACACTCTCAGTAAAAAAAACTGGCCGAAAATCACAAAAATAAGTGAACCTGATACTCAACTCTTACTTCAAGTCCTGTTAAAAAATAAACACTGGGATTTTATTTCTGTCGAGAATGCATTATCATGAAAAGACTAGTATTAAATACAAAATTCACTTGACTTCACTGTTTCTTTCTCAATTCGATAGAAAACAGGTTTATTGTAACGAGTATTTGAAGTAGACAGGACGAAAATTTGCTTCTCAGTGTATTTCAGTTACGAAAATCTTAAGTGAACTCATAGACTGTAGCACAGTATTAAATTTCAATCTTTCATTGTCATCGCATTTGAATTTGTCTGTGAAAATGAAGATTATTTAACCAATTTCTTGGTGTACAATAGCATTAAACACTCCTATCATAAGAATTTGATTCACCTTTGAAATTAGGTCCCTCATGTAGCGAAAACATGTTAATCTATCAACCAAAGGACGGAATTTTGCAGTGACTGATAAACATGAACTTTGAAGGTAGATAATATACGTAACTTAATAATATTAGTCCGTAGAGGTCTTTAAAGCACCCCCCCCCCATGTATAATAGAACGCAAAAGGGAGTAGTGGTGTAATTAAATCTAGGGTACTAGGAAAACGTGGTAAATCAGTTAATGAAGCTACAAAAACTCATCGACTAAAATGTTTGTGACATTTTAATAGCGATCTACTACGGTCAAACGCTGATTAGATGGGATAATTGTAAGAAGATTGAGGGAGAAGGTTCATAAAGTTTCGGACATGTAACTCACTGAGCCCACTGATCTTACTATAAAGCCAGAAACCCACTAGGTCCAGATCGTTATTAACATGCAGTGAACGCTATATGGCGAAGCATTCCCAGTTCCACTACAGAATTAATAAGCACGGAATACATACTAATCCTTGATTCGAACGAACACTGAGCTCTCAAACATTACTAAGCAATATTTTCACCCTTAGGATTCATTTGCGTTTCAAATTGTGAGTGATATCTCATAAAATAATCCAGATCTCAATACATAAAATATGCTTATTAAATGCAATGGACAGTATTTCATTTTTGTCGCTTGATTTCTCGTCAAATTATAAAGTCATCGCTTCCGAAGTGGTTGAAGATTAAAGGTAACACAAATGAAACAATTTCAAAAATCGGTGAGTGATCTTTACTAGGACAAATAATGATATTTTTAGATAGTCAGTGATCTTGAGGGAAGTTAGATCATTTGACCATCTCAAAATCGAAAATATAGTCTCAAGATTTAAGTTGATATCGTAAGCAATCTTCAGAAGATGATAAGACTATAGAGAAACTAACAGAGATCAAGTAGTAACAGACGTGAAAACCTTTGGAAAAGTGGCTACAAGAGCACTATAATTTACCGGAATTTTTGAGCATTGAATATAAAACAATAACTAATTAGCAAGTTTACAAAACGAAATGTTTTTATGCATCATGATAATGACATAGGTACATCGATGTTCTTGTTAGTCATGGGCACATTGCACTTACAGATGTATCTTGTAAGTGCATATCCACTAAATAAGTACATAATCTTGTAGTAGTTCCGCTACTGAATACATTTTGTGTTTCACTTACTCACAAGTTATTAATTTGAACTAATTTCTGAATTTAAAATATCATTTAGCCAAAAACTAAAGAATTCGTAGTCAACAACTCATCAAGCAAGAACCAACTAACTATTGTAGCAAGCAAGTAACTTGTTGGCAAAGAACTATGCAGTATCCTGCCAGTTTTCCGAAAATGTACCCGAAAAATTGCACAACCAGATGACAATAGGCTGGTTATTACATGTGGGTTATTACAGAGGTGATCTACACACACTCATTTCCCAAAATAATGTGCAAACTCCTAAGGAGTTATTAGCTTTGTTCAGATAATTGGCCGGTTGACATACCAAAAGTTTGTCTGATGAAAATTACCACTGAGTACAAAGAAGTCCACAATGTAAGTACGTTATTCACGTCGATATTTTGCAGACGCAGTAAAACGGAAACCGGAGTACCTGTGTAACTCCTTTGACATGAGTGTTGAAGTACAGGCTGAAAACAGTCGTGCTCAGTATTCGGGATTCAGAAAGCTGGGCACACCAGTATCTCCAATTGCAGTCGGTACGTTAAATATATAAGCTTGTATAAGTCCCACACAAGTTGCAGTCCTGCGTTAAACTTCCATATCAACATACGTTGGCACTAGAATCGCGGGTGAGTAAGTAACAGTTGCAATTAAAGTCTGTTTTTTTAGATTTGCAAAACTACATTTTGTTCTGTAGTACATGTCATCAACAATATCAAATTGAGTGATGACGTGAGGCAGTTTTATATAACCGTCTAAGTATAGTGTTAGTGATAATCAACAAAGACTTGGTACTGCATCACCAAATTCTCATTTCCCTTTATCAACTGAAGAGGAACTGAAAACCATGGGTAGATGTCTTCAACATGAATGACTAACCTGAAAGTTCACTCAATTTTCTTTCATTACCAATTTAAATTTCAGATGGCCGTGGAGACGCGATCACTAGATGATAATCCAAAATCTTTATGCGCTATATTTTGTCCTATGTCATGGAACCTGGGTAGCCAGGATCCTTACACTACTTGGAAAAGCTGAGATTTCCAAAAGTCCGGTTTTATGGCACCATACGGAGTAAAACGGGATTTCTTATTCTTAACCTTTAGGCGCAATAACACTAAGCTTTTTATTTTCCACTGACACAAAGACTCTGTGGATTTATACGAGATCACAGCACAAGGCTATTTTCATGACGAGACAAACTACAGAGATGTCATTGAGGGTGAAGGGATAATTTAGGTAATAATTTGAAATAACTTTTTACTATCCAGTGGGAGCATTGTTTAGTGTTGATTAACACTATTGTAAGATTCGCTTTGTTGTAGATTGTTACAAACTAAATTATTGGAGTGACATTATAACAAAGGTGGATTAATATTGAATTTCAGTATACGGATTCTGAATAGCAACATTGATGTACCAATGGAGCCTTACTGTTTTTTGAAACTTTTTCATTGTGATTATAATTTTCGGACAGACCATTTCATGTACATTCATCTACTTTTTCACGTATACATATTACATTATGAGATTAAACATACGCAGTAAGTGCATGCGATTTTAGATTGAATATAAAATTAGGACACATTTCTGGCAAAAAACGCTTTAAATGGTGAATGAAACTTATTTTTAGCATATCTTGATAAACCATTGGCATATTTAGCTCTTACAACGAAGATGCATCATCGTCAACCATCACATGTGATGGATATCCAACTGCTATTTATATCAGTATACATAACCCAAACAAACAAAAAGGACAAACAAATAAGAAAGACACGAAGTAACTAGACTGTGCTCCCCTTTCCACAACCCGTGAAACCCAAGCTCCCAAGTTTGGGGAACTTTGCGGAATTCTGGGAAAATGGTCCTCGGCCCACTAAGAGAACAGTTTTTCCGAAGCCCACCAAACCAAAAGGTGGGACTCGAACCCACGCCCTTTCAGACTATTGGACTTCGGCAAAACTGTTCTCTTAGTGGGCCGAGGACCATCCCTTCGACGAAACGCGAGCGTTCTAAGACCTCGGTGATACTATAATCTTAGGACAACCTTGGAACGAATCTGAAATGACCTTGAGCGATGTTAGCCAATCAGCGAACGGTAAGTGCAGAGCAAAAATATATAATACAAGATCAGAGAAAAAGTGGATACACTTCTTATACGTGGTTAAAAAACTTGTCAGTTTTAGAAAAAGGTTCAGTAGTTCTAAAGTCGTGATGTATTTAGTGGAGGAAATCATCCATATTATGAACTGACATAAGCTATAAAGCCAAGAATCTATTTAGCCAAATGGACAAGTGAATTTCGCGCCACAAACCAAGACTAATTATCTTATATCTGATTGGTTCGTCCATAAATTATAGTCTCCACACCTATTCTCTATGTCACTTGTTCAGATCGTGAGTCAAATGAAGCTAAACAACCATGGAAAACCTGGAAGATTTGGACGACCGTTTCGTCTTATTGTGGGACTCCTCAGCAGTGCGCAACCACGGTCCTGCCTCGCGGGATTCGAAGCCACGACACACTTAACAACTAGACCTTTGAGCCGGCATCCAGCCGTGTTAATGTCTAACTTCAACTAATCCACGAAATTGAGCGACACATCCACTATTGTCATGAGTGAGTAACTGTCTCACAACTGACCTGGTTGAATTCCACTGGTCACTGCTTCTCACTAGAACTCCAGGATACAAATCTTGAAGACAGTCACCAATGAGCATATGTTGAGTAATACCTAATTTAGTAAGAGGAAAATGCTTGTGTATATTGTGTCTGAAAGAACTTCTTAGAGTTTAGTGTATAGAAATCAGATCACCTACAAACCCACGACAAGACAGATGGAAGAGGATTAGATTATCAAGCCGCTCTTTTTATGGTAATCCCAGGAGTTCTGGAATTTCTCTGGTATCTGCCCTCCATACTTTTTTTCAATATAACCGATTCACGTCTTAATAAGGGTCCTGAATCCTGAACAAAGTTTTCAACTTTGGATCTCACTAAAGTTGTGTATACTGTGATGAACTTGTAGATATTCGACTTGTTAAATATCCGTATTAAAGCCCATAGGGTTCTA